AGGTCGCCTCCGGAAGACTGTTTGGCACGGAGAATGTCTACCTGCAGCCACTGAACAGCTATGTTGCCAACTCAATTCAACGACTCGGCCGAATTTGGGGCGACAGTAAGTTTGCTCCTTTTCTAGGTACATGGGCATATCGTGCAGGAGCTAACTAGGATATAGTGGTCTCGGTACAAGATGCGGAAGCGTATTTCGACATTGATGAATTCAATGATCTTTACGCGAAGACTAAGCCCACACTGTACATCAAAATGTCCGACATTTTTTCGATCCACCAACTTGTTGCGTCTGAGATCAACTATATTTGTCCACACCCCGACGATATTCTAAGGGAGATAATCCGCGATCTCGGAAATGTGAAGACCAACGAAAACGAACTGATGAGCGTCAATTCCTCGGAAATCAATTTGACATTAAATCCCAAGCTTGCGCAAGTAGAAGGTAAGTTGTATTAAGGAAGTGGGCTGTGACTATCGGCTAACGGGAAAACCTTCCAGATCCCGAAGCAGATGTCAAAGCGCTTTTCATGGAAACGAAACGATGTGTTCTCTATATCATTAGGGTTCAGACGGGCGCCAATCTCATGGAAATTATGGTCAAACCACCCACCGAGGAGGACGAAGAACGATGGATGACCTTGGTCCGGGACGAGTTAACCGCGAATACCAGCCAGCGAAGCGCATACTCTGAGGCGAGCACGCTGGTCGATATTGCGTCCATGACGTACTCCGAGCTGAAACGGACTGCACTTGAGAACATTCTCCAGCTCGAGCGGACCGGCAAGATTCGCCGTGACAACCATTATCAAGATCTTCTCAATGCCATTGCTATTGATATCCGGACTAAGCACCGCCGTAGAATTCAGCGGCAGCGAGAATTGGAGAGCGCACGTCTTACCCTGGGTCGTCTCAACGATCAAGCCGGCTGGCTGGAACAGCAGCTCAAAACCTACAACGACTACATCGAGCAGGCAATGGTGACCTTGCAGAACAAGAAAGGCAAGAAGCGATTCCTCATGCCATTTACCAAACAATGGGACCATCAACGCGAGCTTCAAAAGTCCGGCAAAGTGTTCAAGTTCGGCTCCTACAAGTACTCGGCCCGGAACCTCGCAGACAAGGGCGTTTTGGTTTACTGGAAGGGCTACTCGGAGCGCCAATGGGACCGTGTCGACCTCACAATATCTAGCAATGAAGTCGGCGTCTTCACCCTCGATGGCAGCAGTGGTCCCATGATGGTCCCGGGGGCAAACGCTCAGGTGCCCTTGGACGACTTGCTGCAAGCGCAATTCAACAACATGCAGTTCATGGACTTCTTCGACGGACACTTACGAGTCAACGTGAACCTCTTCTTGCATCTGATTATGAGAAAATTCTATAACGAATGATTGATATGATGGGGTACTCGGCGGGACCGGATTGATAAGTCCAGCAGAATATCCCGGAATCTCCCTAATGACGTCTGTTTGATTTTTGTTGTTTCACTCCTCCTCATTCGATTGTATCCCACCAGTATTGTGGTTCCTCATCTGCGGATATGAGCCCGTTCAGCATGCTTTAGTTGACGATGACCCCTTTCTTACCAGCGATATCCACTTCATGTCTGATTACCTCTCCTTCTTTCTGCTTCGGAGCCTTGGCATCTCGGCACGCGATTCGCCAGCAAACCTTTATGTTTTTGGTGTTCCTTTCAAAATTTGTCGTCGCCTTGAAACCCTACCTTTCACTGATCCTATTGATGATTCCCCTGTGATGATTTAGACGAGTCTTCTATGTATGTATTGGTCCGATAGTGTTTAGTAGTACATGATATGACAGCTTTCAAAGGCAATCTAGTTATCTAAGTCATCACATCGCTAAAAGGGATAATAATGCGATTGTAGGCTATGACGATGGACATCCCCAGTATATCTCTAGTATACGGGGACATGGACATGTCAGGGGTTCACACGTGACTTCCGGGATGCCTTGGGCCCCAACTGCGGATGCCAGCTTGAATCCCCGAACTCCCGCCTCCTCGTTGTCCTTGTCTCCCTCGTCCTGAATCAAGTCCTTGCATATACTGCATTTTTAGTCTTTCTTTCTTTTTTTTTCCTTTTGTTTCTCAAAAGTTTGTCGATTCAGGAGTGCAAATACACCACACAAAGCTGAGTCTGCGCCATGGATTTCAACAGTCTGAAAGAGCAGGTCAGCAACCTGACCTTGTATGATATCAAGGCGGGAGTCCGCAAGGTGCAGAATGGTAGGTACTCCAATGCAGCATCTACTGGCAACCCGTCTTTCTCTCCAGACTTCCTTCAGCCCTGAACGGTTGTCTACTGTGGCGCACAAGATATTAACTTTTTCTGTTTTTTAGCTGTCATGAACTACACCGAGATGGAGTCCAAGGTTTGTTGGCACCTGCCAGTCGCATTGGCGGCTTCTCTCTTGTTGTGAGAGAGCGATGACGGATTGTCCCGGTTGGTAGGCAAATTTCTAAATGCGAGCAGGTCCGGGAAGCTACGAACAATGAACCCTGGGGCGCTTCAACGACATTGATGCAAGAGATCGCCAACGGAACTCACAGCTAGTCAGTTATCCCCTCGCTCCGTACTTATCGCGATGTCGATTACTCGATGGATCTGGGCTCGATGCTAATCTCCGTTGCTAACAGCCAGTTGTTGAACGAGATTATGCCGATGATCTACAAACGATTCACAGACAAGAGCGCGGAGGAGTGGCGACAGATCTACAAGGTACGAGTAACGCGGGCTGGCGTCCACCCGAGACCGGTTAGACTGATTCGTCCTTTTGTGTCATACAGGGTCTTCAACTACTGGAATTTCTGATCAAGAATGGTTCGGAGCGCGTTGTCGACGATGCCCGGTCTCACCTGTCCCTGATCCGGATGCTACGCCAATTTCATTATATCGACCAGAACGGAAAGGACCAAGGTGTGAACGTGCGCAACCGATCGTCGGAGCTGGTGAAGCTGCTTGGTGATGTGGATCTTATTCGCACCGAGAGAAAGAAGGCCCGTGCGAATCGCAACAAGTTTGGTGGCTTCGAGGGCGGAATCGGTTCCGGTGGAATGGGTGGTATGGGAGGCGGCTTTTCCGGTTCCTCCGGCAGGTACGGCGGATTTGGCAGCGATAGCCTGTCCTTTGGTGGATACAGTGGAGGTGTCTATGGTGACGGCGGCGGCTTTGGGGGTGCTTCTAGCGAGTTCCAGGATGCGGGACGGAGAGGGAACCGGTTCGAGGAGTATGACGAGTACGATGAGGGCGACGCCAGCCCGACGCGGCGTCGCGGACCCAGCCCTCCACGTCCGAAGCAGGAAGCGAAGAAGCCCGAGCCTCCCAAGGCACCCGAACAAGACTTGTTTGACTTTGGCGAGGAGGGAACGGTCACAGCTGCTTCCACATCTACTGCGGCTGGCAAGAAGCCTGCCAGCAGTAACGGCCTGGATATTCTCGAGTCCAAACCGATCGATGACGATGACGAGTTTGATGATTTCCAGTCCGCAACGCCAGCACCGCAGCCCGCAGCCAACCAATTCGCTATTCCCGCACCCGCATCCACGGTCAGTACGACCTCGAGTACCCAGTTTGCCGCTCCTCGGCCCGTCTCTGGCGTGCAAGGGCCGAACCTGAATGGTTTGGTCGGATTTACGTCAATGACCCCGACTCCGACATCGAGCACAGTTGCCTCTCCCACACTTTCTCAGAGCTCCATGGTGCCGCCATCCCAGCAGACAAGGCCTGCACCGGCCAAACCGAGTGGCTTCCAGGCCGCCACTCCCAACTACTTCACCTCCGTTACCACCGCCACCGCACCGCAGCCAACTGCCATGACACCCAGCCACCGACCGGGCATGCCCTCGACCTCCTCTTTCACTTCTGCCCGGAGTACTTCATCGGTCGGTGGTAAGCCGGCAGCATCCAAGTCGTCGGGTGACGCTTTTGGATCTCTCTGGTCGACCGCCAGTGCCAGTGCAGGCATTCAAAAATCATCCGCAAATGGTAGCAAGGGGCCCAATCTGGCGAGTATGGCTAAAGAGAAGGCTAGCGCGGGCATCTGGGGAGCCCCGGCACCGTCGAGCAGTCTCACTCCAGCTTCTCCTTCTCCATCGATGGGCTCTTCAACACAGCAACAGGGGACGAAGACGGGCAGTTCGGGGCTTGACGATTTGCTCGGCTAATTGTCACTGGTCTCTGATGATTTTATTTGTTTTTATGTCTCTGCTTTTGATTACCAGGCGATATTCTCTCCGTAGTGCAAATTTTTCTCAATCTGTCTTTCGTTTGTGGTAGGAATCGATATACAGGGTTCTAGGCCAGTCACCAAAGATCACTTGTCCATGAGCGCAGGCTTCTCATTTCACTCTGTATTATTACCGATGTAACTTCTGCATGCCTTGCTGTCGAGTAATCCAATTGGAATCTTTCCTCAGCCCACCACTCCAGCATCCAGAGGTATCTGGAGATCTGCTGGGCTGCTGTAAGACCTCGAATCCAAATGGTCGAATTAAGGTTGGCACCACTACTAGTGTCCTTGATACGATGATTATCTGCACACCATCCTCGCTTGGGTATGTGGCCCTCAAGACGACAAACCGTTTATATACCCCGCCGAGAGACTCCTTTCCTCTATGGGTGTTATTCCTGTCGTCGATGCTTTCTATTCTAGTCCGTATGGAGACTGAAATTTGATCCTTCCACTCGGACATTCAATCATTGCCGAAGGAGATTGGTTCTTAAGGTTAGACCCTGGGCAGGGGCTCGTATTTTCCCTGCAGGCTTCCCCCTAGAATGTGTGCTGTCTCGACGATCAGCACCCACTCAGGTAAAGTGCCTCCCCCGATGCATACCGCAGCGTCCAGAGTAGCCCTGGTAGGCAAGAATAATAGTCCAGACTAGTGTAGGTCCTCATCTTGTGTTGCATTCCCGCTCTTGTCCACATGGATGGTTATCTGTCTCATTCTTGAATCCCCTCGATTCTCGACTCTCCTCGTTTGCTGTGTAACCCCACCGCCCCTCCAGAAAGACACGGGCAAAGGAGACTTGAAGCTATGCAATGAGTGTTCGATACGGAGTACCTGGGGGAAGATACGAGGGACGGAATGTATTCTTCTACGGAGTCCTTCCAGCTCCCTGATGCCTATCTTCCTCCGTGAACTTGGCACACTCTATGACTGGATCACTGGTTCGCGCGTTTCAGCCGCACGAGTGAACTGTGATTGATTCGGTATCAGTATTGAGAGTCTGTTTTTAGCTATGAGTGTGTTGATCACTTAACTACGGTCTAGGCATATAATTATAGATAGATCAGGTTCTCTTCGTATTTGCTAGTTGATCTTCCTCTGACAATTTCATCCAACTCCATCCCATATACGACCACGATCATGTTCGTCAACCCCTTCTTCGAAAGCAACCTATTACTCCCCCGTCAACTCAACGAGGCATACAATGGCTGCTCAGGCGGTATTGGCGACGGAGAGTGTCTCCCATCCTCTCGATGTACCTACGCTCCATACTCCATGCCCCGTAGCAAAAAGCCAACTAACTTGCGCAAGGCCTCGGTATAGTCTACTCAAACCAATGCCAAAGCGACCCCACCGACTACTCGGCAAGATCTGCCTCTACCTCTTCTATCCTTTCCTGATACTAATACCGCATAGTGCTGCCTCCACCGCCGCTGCACCGTCTCCGAAGGAACAGGCTACTGCCGCGACGCCTCGAACCAGACCTGCGAGGAGGGCGCATACTTCGCCGGCACATCGGTAGATCTATCATTTCTGTTGCGCCTTGCTCACAAAGCAAAAGTCATTGTCAAAACTGACAGAAACCATTTTAGTACCCCTGGCCCTGTCCGGGACCGAATAACGTCCAATGCTGCGTGAAATACACCAACATGACGAACCACACATCCACATCCTCGACTCGCGCATCGACTGGGACTGCTACGCTCCCCATCTCGAGTACACCCACGAGTACACCCGCAAACACAAGCGCAAGCAGCAACTCGACTCAATCCCTAACTCCCACCGCACAACCACAATCGCAGCCCGGGAACGGCCTATCCAGCTCGCAGATTGGCGGCATCGTAGGGGGCGTCCTCGCCGCCGCAGTGCTAGCCGGGCTCATCGCGTTCATCTTCTGGTTCCGACGGCGGCGTCGACGACTTGTGGCCGCGCAGGAGGGTGGGGATCAACAGCCGGCGCGGCGGGATGGCGAGGATGCTGGTGGTGGTACTGGCACGGCGGTTTCTACTATGGGATCGGCGACGCGCGAAGATGAGCATGATCCCGAGGGAAAGGGTGCCGCGGAGATGGACGAAAAGGAGATTCCCATGCTGGGTGGGCGGATGAGGCAGGAGATGGATGCGCAGGGGGAAGCGGCGGTGCATGAGCTGGCGGTCCCAATGGGCGGCAGCACGCGTAAGCTGTCGGAGCTGCCGGGGTCGATGGGGAGGATGGCCGAGTTGCCTGGTTCCGAGGTGGATTTCAAGCGATGAATTGGTTGCCGATACGATGGGATGGATGTAGACTGATTTTAGTTGGAACTGGGAAGCTGGTTGGATATTGTGGCGTATGGGTTCAAGTATATATACCATTCACTCGTCATTCACTGTATATCTGGTTATAGCATAATCTCTTATTGATTTCCAATCCCACAGAGACTAGAATTGACAGAATGATAGCCCATACCATGCACAAGCCTCTTGAGGCCGAAGAATCAAGAACAGATGCTGACACAGATGATGACGCCGGCGCTGGATATTGAAGACAGTAAAAGCCATGCAGAAAAAAAGAAAAAGTCAAATATTTACAAGCCAGAAATCACAAGAAGAACGATGCCTGTTCTCGTTTACTGGTTTGTTCATGCCAACAAGCGAAGTGGTATATCCTTTCCTTCGTTGAGAGCTCAATTTGTCAAATATAAAGCATCTTCTACCTTTCATTCACCAGGTTATCCGATGCGAATTCTCGTCATAAAATATATCATGTCATGTGTATGGGATGACACTGGTCTAGAGTCACCCTATTGTTTCAGAAATCGCCTTCTCGGGCGGTTGAACAACAGCTGGCACTTTGCTCAATGAGTGCAATCCTGGAAGCCAATTCAAGGCTAACAGCCAAGTATGAAGAAGGTTTGAATCCGTCTGTCTTTGTAGAAACAGACCCGAGTCGTAAACGCACAACTCTCACGACAGACTCAAGGTGGAAATCTCCCACCTGCAGCCAGTCCATCCAGGACGCGCAAGCCCAATGTTGAAGGACATGTCTCATGGCTTCGCCAAGATCCCCATCTGGCTTTCCCTTTTTGCGTTTTGTTTCTCCGACATTGGTTGTTCGATTGGCGGGGTGCTGCCGATCTCCTGTCCGGTGTGCAGAAAATGTGATGGGTTCGATTCGGTCTCCCCGCCGCCAGCTGGGATGACGGCTGAACTCTCCAAATTCGTTGCGCCGTTGGCAATATGAACAGACCCCCTGTCAGAGCTCAGAGGCAATTGGTCATTCTGAGTTGGTGTGATGGCCTGCTCTGAGTCGGTTGAGTCCGGGCTCAAGTATGTGCTATCATCCTCCTCAGTATCGAGACTTGGGTCGACGCTGAGCGATGTCAGGCCACCTTCGATGTCCCGAAGTAACCGAACAAATTCCTCTGGTACCAAACCGCTTTCACCAGTCTTTGGATCCTCCGCGACTAGCCAGCCCTGGCCGTGCCTGTATGAGACAAAAATCACCTGTCCTTCCGTCAAAGGCAGTTCGTTCTCATGTTCTCTGGTGAAATCAAATAGCGCAACCGCTTTGCCATGCATCTCCTCATCGGGACAACCAACCGCGAATTGGAAATCGCCCGAGTATCGGTCGGCACCGGAACAATCGTCCTCAGATTCGAACCCTGCATCATGCTCACGGTCCTGATAGTCGCCGTAAGTTTCGTTCCTCATGTGAGAATGTCGGCTCTCATCCGGAGGATAGGTGACATATTCTCCCCCAGGGCCATCATCTGTCCCATCATCGTCATCATTGACATAATAAGTCTCGCTGCCGTCCGCGTTCATGCTGACCAGTATTCCTCGGTCAGTGTCACCGGAGAAATAGGCAGATTGATGGCCGCGACCGGGACTTCTCATTCTTCGGCCATTCGCATTCATCCCTGTCGACTTGTTCTTGCGGTGGCGGGACGCGGAAAACACTGGGCTATGCAAATCTTCATCTTCGCTATAAGGGGGCCCATCGCCAAACGACATTGCCGGTAATTGCTGATGTCCATGACTCTGATCCGTTCTCCAAGGCCCCGACGACCACTGACCACGCGAGTTATCCCATGGTGCGGGAGGGTCCGAAAGCCGCCGATGTTCACTTGCCGGAGTGGACACACCGGAGGCACGGGGTGGCAGAGGACCGTAATGAAGTGGGTGGATCGGAGGGTATGCGAAATCCCGAACGAGCGCATATGGCAAGCTGGAATGGAAGATTGGAAACACATGCGAGCCGGGACGAGAGCGACTTTGAGAAGTTGCGGAAACATTCGAGTACGTCGATAGACGATCTTTCGCATACGACGATGTCCGCTGCCCGATTTGTGTCTTCCCGGAAGCATCTGTTATAATTGGAGGTAGGACCGACAAGTTCGTCGTCGAGGTGACCACCTGTGACTGCGGCCGAGAAGCCGATGAGGTTAGGGTTGCCATGATAGATCGGCGCGGGAGGCACGACAAATAATGACGGTTATGAGGACGCTCTCTCCGGAAAGAAAAGTGATCTGAGTTAAGGACGTGTCCGGTGAGGAGGCGACTGTTGTTGACGGTAAAGGAAGCGTTGCGACTTTATTCTCGCATCGCGTCGTCGACTCTCCGAATCCCGATCAATGTAGGTCGCAGGAACACGCCTGATGATATGAGGAAAACCCCCAATATAATTCAGTCGACGCAGATGGCTGGGGGTTATGGAAGCAATAAGAGTGAAAGCATGCAGGTTGAGAGGTGCTTTAAGAGCTCCTTGCCTACAAGCACAATATGGACCACTGACTGTATGAGGCTGGGGTAAGGTGTAATCCGGATTCCCCAGGTCGACGTCGCTTCGAAAACACACCTGAGACGATTCTAGACGCCAGCTATTCGCAATGTCTCCAGTGCCTCAGTTGGCGACTGTTGCAACAATCAACGATCGAGATAAGTTCAGTGCGCGGCTATTGATCTCGTAGAAAAAAAGCCCCCCAGGAACGCCTTGGTTTGTCTTTTGAATCGAGATGCCGAACCAATGGAGCAATGAGACTTAAGCCCAGTCGGAATCTTTGAGAAAGAGAAATATAAATGGGACCCTTGCAACCAATAGCGGGTTGATTGCTGTCGAGGCAATAATACTGGACTCGAAGGAATTTTGTCCCGCGTTTGGATTCTTGTCGAGTCGTTTGAAGGTACGGAGGCGATGGAAGTGGGAGGTTCTAAATATAGCAGCAGCTGGTCCCGGTTAATAGGGAGACAACCAATGATAAGGACGAGGAACAAACAAGAAGAGCGATGAAGGAGAGACAGAGAGGGGGAGGAGGGGTTGCAAAAAAGAACGAGGAGGGAGAGCCACAAGTAGTGATTATGCTTAGTTGCCAGTGCAAGTGATAGTAATAATGATTATCATTCTTCTTATTATTAGGGGATAAAATGGACGATCGATGGATGGCGGGACCCAAGCAGGAGGTCGGAGATTACCTACTTGCGAGGTACTGAAGACTCAAGGCCCGAAAGCGTTTAGGATCATTGAGGCGCAGTTGGTGGAGAAAGAGGGCTTGACTGGCACCGCAGCCATGCAGAGACGAGAACGTTGTACCAAAGTCAACCCAAAATCTCGATCTGAGCTTCTTCAGTGACTCCAAAGTATGGGACCGATGTCGAATCAGTCACTTTGTACGGAGTAAAGGTTCAATAATATGAATTGATCTCCTGGTCGCAGCGTTTTTCCTTCTTCCGCCGCAGACTTGGATGCCTCCACGTGACTTACCACGCGCGGACTAGCGTGTTTCAGGAATATGGTGCCTTGATCTATTCCCATCTTGGAATCATGACTGAGGCCTCAGTCTCCCCTTGCGTTGGTCCAGGCTCCAATGCTCATTGAACAAAGGCGAGAATTTCCTCGCATGTAACCTAATGGTAGGCTGGTATGCGAAACTGGTTGCCCTTGCTTGCCGGAAAATGATCAGGCTGGCTGAAAGATTTATGAACAGGACAATCCCCCTGGCGACTGGCAGCCACACAAATTGCGCATACATGGTTCTCTACTTCTACCATTTAAGTTCACAGACGATGGTCTTCAACTGATTTGCTGGGTTGGAAACACTTTCTATTTACTATAAACAAAGGAGAATCGAAGCCAAGAAAGAAAGATGCACAGTACCAGCTGTGGCTGACAAGCGAAAGCTCTAAGGCAGATCTGCCGACCCTTTGCCTTGAGGACAAGGGTGTGAAATATTTTAGACAGGTTTTCGAAACCAGTTCCAAGCTGGAGCAGAGAATCTGGGCGTGGAAGAGCTAGGTGCTGATGAGCCTAGGCTGGTCTGACGGGCGTTCGGCTGAACAGTCTTGGTCAAAGTAATGAAAGAAGTCACTGTCGCTGGTGTGGGTTGCTTGCGAACGGCAGTCGGTGTCGGAATCAGCCGAGATGTCGAAGAGCCAGGCGCAGAGAATGAGGAACGTCCTACTCCAAATACCTCTGCGAACTGAGATGGGATGGCCGCATTGTTCAGTGACTGATCCTCGACGTAGTTCGCCGGTATACGGACATGAATAGGAGGCCCATCAATCACATCCACATCGATGCAAGTAGTATAGATCTCTTGCTTTCCATTCGGCAAGGATGGGTCCACTCCCGGAGCTGTAGGCCAGTCCCAAACCCAGTACAGCGTGTAGGGCTTGCCGGTTGGCGCTTCAGATGGTAGCGCAATATCCTGTTGGCACCAGAGATCGGCTCCCATGAGTTGGTTTGCCTCATGCTGGTACGTTGCCTGGCGATGTTCGGAGATCTGACCACTGTTTATCTGGTAGCAACGGCCATCGTCAAAATTCTGCGTCGACAAGAGCACGCCGCGCCCGTCACCTCCTGTGCCTTCCTTGTTCCAGACATTGTGTACGTCAAGAAGCCGTTCGTCGTCCTTTGGCTCTGTCGTCCCGTATACGTATACCGTCCCACGATTCCTGGGTTTCCCAGGCTGGTTCTGGGGTAGGGTCACATGGCCGTTTTCCTGGAAGCGAAGGGCGATAGCAGCGCCAGGACTTGCCTGAAGCCTTGGACTACCATCTGTCTGGGATTGTTTCCGTTGTGTATCCTTACACAAACGATCCCTCGGAAGGATTTGACTCAGATTAGCCCGGCCATCAGGCGGTATCAGATTGGTCATGGTCTTGTCGTTGAAGGCGGGATCGGTGCGAAGAACATTTCCTCGAGGATATCCTGGAGAGCCAACAAAGGTTCCATTCGGCGCTATAACCATGAGCTGTTCAACCCAAGAATGAGCGATGACTGTCGTGAAAATGTGGGCGAAGACCAGCAACCTCGAAACGACCATACTGAGGACGCGCAGCGCTTGCATGATATTCTGGCTCCCTCGAAGGACTTAGAGATAGTGACAGAGAGTAGGACGCCGACTAGCGGTGTTGCCTCGAAACCAGCGAGTTTATTCTTTCTTTCTGCTCAGAGTGATGGTCGATAGTGTAAGCAGGAGAGTAGTACGCTTTAGAAATCCATCACCGGTGAATCCCCCTCGTCTTCTCAGGTGCTGATTCTGGTTCCCAGATAACACGGATCACACCGGTTATTCCCACTTATCCTTTGTTGAAATGATTAGAGAGACCGAGACTGGACAATAGTGAGTGAAGCGATCAATGCACCAAAGACAATGGGCATTGAAACACAAAAGATCATGGGACCTTTTCAGTGGCATCTCCTCTTTTCTCCTCAAACAGGCTTTGCGCCTGCCTATTCTCAACGAAGAAACAAGTATCATTGGGCTCCTCTGATAATGCGTCATTCGAAACATCTGGGTGGTTGACTCAATAGGCCAATGTCAATAGGAAACAAAGAGAGGGTCCAGGATTCTCGCACGGCGCTAAAGGCAGCGACAGGCCCAGATTCTCAAGGAACATTTGAAGCCAATCAATTTGGGATCCATTGTAACTCCCTGACAGACTGCTCTTCATCTATCTGTATTAGAGGCATCCTGAAGTAGGCGTTTAGTGTTTGTGTGTTGCCTTGGGAAGCCTGAAGAATCTGGTCGAACGCGTAGAAGAAAGGTCCCAGGCTCAAGAGTATAACATTGAGACACCCCAAATAGCAACAGCGCGTAGCTCGATTAAAGGGTACGCCATAATCCTCATCGCAGGTCTGAGGAATCTCGATGTTGTTGCAGAACTGCACAAGATGTAAGGATGCTAAGTTCCCGATTGGCTTTGAATCTCCGACATGGCGCTTACCAACCGTCTTCAAGATTAAAGGGTGGCAGTACCGCAGACAGGCAAGCTCAAGCCTACTTATTTGGCCCAAAGCCTGTTTTGACTTTAAAGCTTCAGATGGAGATTGTTTCTGTGACGGTTTAGAAGGTCAGCAACCGCGCGAACATTGCCTAAGGTTTACTCCACGCCTTAATGCTAAGTGCAGTGAGAAACTATTTCGACAATCTTCCAGCTGAGCAGGTCAACGCTCGCAAGAGAACTCTATAAACAGGCAAAGTCATAAGAGAGCCAAAACAGAAGTATATCCCTCCAGAACGAGGACTGAAGACAGATGGCCGCCATGTAGAGTTTTCGGCCTTCTCGTTTCCAGCGCCTAATTCGGATCGCTCCAAGATTTCGATACCTCTGAGAAGCGAACATCACAGCGATTAGCTCTTATATTCGGGAGTCTTGGGCCCATTGATCCCGAAGGCACTCCGGTCTTTGTTTTTGGGTTGTGCTCTAAGACTGGATATCTCGCTGATTACCCAATATATTATATAATTATTTGCATTTATTTTGTTGAGACGTCCAAAGTAAGGCGCCTCTTGCCAGAATGCAAGACAGATATAGATATATTTCATGATCCAGCTTTTACAACTCCTGACGTGGACTGCCTTTGACACAGTCTTTCAGTCCTTCGGGCTGTACTCATGAAGCACCATTTTGCGTGGAAAGAAGTAAAAAGCATCGATTTCCGGCCTACTACTGACCGGCTTTCATCCGATTATTGGAATCTGCTCCGACAATAGTGAAGAGTGTCGGGAAAACAACAACCGTTACCGGACTTCTTCGCAGTAGTAGCCCGCACAGGCTCAGAAGCAAAGGGCATGAACAGTCCAACAGGATTTATCACTGATTGATTAGATGAAATGAGTGGATACTATTATCGTGTTATCTCCGACGGACCAGGATGCCTCAGTGGTCCTGGCTTTTTCATTGTGTGCACTGTCCACTGTCCACAACTCCACCAGGTTGGCCAAGAAGACGCCCATAGAGAACACAGGAATCGAAGCCAAGTACAAACTCCCGTTTGAAATGAAACAGCTTTTCCCTGTTTGAGTATGCTAGATTGATCGATTGGCACCAGAGACGCGTACTCAATTACATAATGCGCTGGTAAACTCCGTCTTTCGGAGATCCATACTAGATCTATCTGCAGAAGTTTGAAAACTTCCCTTATTTCAACAGAGCCTTGAATGACTTAGGAGGTAGAAGCTGAAGTGCCTTAGGTGGCAGAGAAATAGGAGGCCGGAAGGAAGAGGGTAAACTTCAAAAAGGAAATTTCTTGAATTTCCTGTTGAGTCAATTGTTTAGTAGTCCCCATCGTTGTTATTCCCTGATGTGAATCGCTGAGCGATAGTCTATATTTCTAGAATCCAATCCAGGCTCACATCATACTTCCACACTATTGCCACATAGAGGCTCCTCCATATTCGTGCTCGGGTATGCTGGATTATGTGGTGAAGGTATATATCTTCAGAATCTATACATGAAATTATCGACGCTTGAACTTTTAGCAGACTTTTGGATCATGGATACACTGTGTATCTACCATATTCTCGAGTCTCGCCTCACGGTTTCTCCCGTAAGATAGAGGTTTAGCAGATGCGAGGGGGACAAAGAAGGTGAGGAAGGAGTAGAAGGACAGAGGAGAGAGAACAGTCATCAGCTACCGAGTACTTGCTCAGCTTCTTCAAAGAAAAGCAAGGGGTGCCAGCGGTGAAGTAGCCAGGGTTGTATAACACGGCGCACAATTTGATTCTTTCCCTCCTTCATCCAGGAGGAGCGAGGCTGTATGTCTATCCATGCTAAGTCCAGTTCAAGATTGAGATAGAGTCCGGGGGCTACCTAAAATGGTAAGACCGAATGATGCGACATACCTTGGGCACTTTGCATCTTGCTTACTTGGTTGACCACCGGGAACAAGCTAAGTCAATGTACTGCTTACCCTTGGAAGCTGCCTTCGTTCACAAACATCAACATCACCATCGTCCATCTTACGTGAGATGACTGATTCGTGGAGATACATTATGCAGTCTTGTAACCATCTATTCGTCGATATGACGTGACCACAGTCCCCGAACCTGAAATACCGGTACTCCGTTGTCTTGCGCCTGTTCACCGAGGGCGGATTCCAGTACCCGAACTGCAGAGTTGCAAACAAGTATGTAGCAGTTCATATTGATATCTACTCGTAGCACATCGAAACTAGTGGTAGAGTACGTAACTCCTTATTCAGTGGATCCGGGAGGAACACACTGGTTTTGGTACGAACTGACAACCCAGTAGGTAGTCAATCTCGTTGATATGACTGATTGTTGCTGAGAAAAGGAGGAATCAGACTCAACTACTAGGTAGCTGATAGCCACTCGGTGAATAAATCAAAACACAATTCATTTTTGAGATCGTAATGGCAGGTCAACGGGCTTAATGGGACATTTCCTAGTCAGATAGTAGCCGAAGTACTCCGTAGTATTAGGACTATTGCCTATCTTAGCTGTACGGACTACGGACTAGTTGGGATTTTAACGACCGGACCCCTGGGATGTTTCCCGTATTGATTATTTCTTTGACTAAAGCCCGAAGGCTTTATGTTGGATTTTAGGACTTTCTTTTTTGGTTAGACTTTATTCCTTTGTCGTCCCCACTCTGTTTCCTCTTTCGCTTCCGCTCTTTCTTCTCCATGATTATAATTGTTATCCTCCTCCCCTACCTTGGTGTTGAAATATAACACTGTGGTCGAGCTCAACCTCGTTGTTTCCCGGGAGCCTGGAACAAGCATCTGCGCTGATCCACGGTGCTTGTGGCTGTGCTTAGGCGGCAAAATTAGCCGGATTTACTTATTTCCATCTTCCCAGCGGCGAGCCAGACTCCCTTTGGTTCAACTTTCAGGGGGTCCGCGATCAAGGCAAATTAGGGATAGGAAAAAGAAAGGAGCTGCTGGTGGAATTGGACTTGGTTTCTTTCTACAGGGTCGAATTCAGCTCAATATTGAACTGTGGGCTGGTTATTTCAGGGCCCCTTATTGTCTGGTATGTTTAATCCTTGGTGAATGCGTCGCCGGAGATAATTGTCCTAACCGCACTCAAGGCTGTACTTTTTTATTAGAGTCTTTTCAGCAAGCAGCGACCTCTTCGATACTTTACTTCATGTCCACCTCCTGACCTCGAGAACATTTCTTGAGATTTTCAGCGTCGAGGTGAGAAAATTTGGGACGGTACTAAGCCATAGTGTCTCACCCCTGCGAACCTTCAATTTCAGCAATTCCCCTAGACACGCGGCCTACACCGCCTCTCCCTGCTCGCCAATTTGTCTATGATAGACAATGGCTACCTCTCTGATTACAAGGAAGCTTCGTTCGGCAGAAGCTAAGAACGATGCCGAACCGGGATGGTTAAAGCGCCAGGTCACTGGCGTTTTACAATCCATCTCTAGCCAAGCTTGTCAGCACCCTATACACACCATTGTGGTTATTGCATTGCTCGCCAGTACGACCTACGTCGGTCTCCTTGAAGGGAGTTTGTTCGACAGCGTCAGGAACCCCAGGAATATTGCCGGTCAAGTGGACGTCGATACTCTGCTTCAGGGCAGCCGGAATCTTCGGTTGGGTGAGAGTACATCTTGGAAATGGCAGGTCGAGGACGGTTTAGCGAGCCAGGACTACACGGTATATCTACATCAGAGTATCTTGAAGTTGAATTTCTCGTCACTGACTGTTTATTGACCGCAGGGCGTCAACCATCTCGCTCTAACAACCTTTATCTTCTCGGATTCCCTGTCAAAGTCATCTTCAATCGCTCCTGCCGCAACAGAATTGCCAATTCCTTCCAATGCCTCTGCTCAACCAGTGCCATATACCCCTAACTTATTCTCGCCCTTCTCCCACGACTCTTCTCTCGCATTCACCTTGCCGTTTGATCAGGTCCCAGAATTCCTGAAAGCGGTGCAGGAGATCCCGGATCCCTCCTCCGATGAGGACGACGGGGAACAAAAGAAATGGATCATGCGGGCTGCTCGTGGCCCGGCTTATGGCTCGGGTGGTGCTATCAAGCTCTGGTTGGCAGATGCGTGGAGTTCATTTGTGGATTTGATCAAGGTAAATGATTTGCCTTACTTATTTTGTGCTGCCATTTTTACTAACGTACCAAGCACGCGGAAACTATTGACATTGTCATCATGACTTTGGGATACCTTTCGATGCATCTTAGCTTCGTGTCCCTCTTCTTCTCGATGCGGCGTCTCGGCTCTAACTTCTGGTTGGCGGCCACTGTCCTCTTCTCGGGCGTTTTTGCGTTTTTGTTCGGTCTTCTGGTCACAACGAAGCTTGGCGTCCCGATCAATGTTCTTTTGCTGTCCGAGGGCCTTCCATTCCTTGTTGTCACTATCGGTTTCGAGAAGCCGATCATTCTCACCAGGGCTGTTCTCACTGCGGCGGCGGACAACAGGCGCAGAGCTGGTCAAGCTTCGTCAAGCACCACGAAGTCCATTCAAGACTCCATTCAGACTGCGATCAAGGAACAAGGTTTTGAGATTATCCGCGATTACTGCATCGAGATCGCCATTCTTATTGCTGGGGCTGCTTCCGGAGTCCAGGGTGGGTTGCGACAATTTTGTTTCCTCGCCGCGTGGATCTTGTTTTTCGACTGTGTTCTGCTCTTCACTTTCTACACCACCATCCTCTGCATCAAACTCGAAATTAACCGGATCAAGCGCCATATTACTCTTCGCAAAGCTCTGGAAGAAGATGGTATCACCCATCGGGTGGCCGAGAATGTCGCTTCCAGCAATGACTGGCCTCTGACCGGATCTGAGAGCAGCAACAAGACTAGCATCTTCGGGAGGAAGCTCAGATCTAGCAGTGTTCGCAGATTCAAGATTTTGATGGTAGGGGGTTTTGTCTTGCTCAATGTGGTGAATCTATCGACTATCCCATTCCGGGATTCTAGCCAGGGTGCTGGCCTACCCCTGTTGTCTCGTGTCTCTAATGTGTTTGCGCCTACGCCCATTGACCCTTTCAAGGTCGCCGAAAATGGGCTTGACTCGATCTACGTCTCTGCAAAGAGTCAGATGATGGAGACGGTTGTGACAGTCATCCCTCCAATCAAGTACAAACTTGAATATCCTTCTGTACACTACGCCGCCTTGGGCGAAAGCCGCACATTCGATATCGAGTACACCGATCAGTTTCTCGACGCTGTTGGCGGGCGTGTCATCGAAAGCCTTCTCAAGAGTGTTGAAGATCCCATCATCAGCAAGTGGATCATCGCTGCTTTGACGCTGAGTATTATCCTGAACGGCTACTTGTTCAATGCCGCTCGCTGGAGCATTAAGGAACCCGAAGTTGCCCCTGCCCCTGCCGCCCCAAGGTGGCTGTGGTGGAAGCAAAGAAGGAATACCCTAATATCGACTTGAACCCCGACATGCCCAAGAGGAGTCCAGAAGAGTGCGAGGCTCTCTTGAAGGAGAAGCGAGCTGCTTATCTGAGCGACGAAGAGTTGATTGAGCTTTCCCTGCGAGGCAAGATTCCTGGCTATGCGTTGGAAAAAACCATGGAAAACGAGGACCTCATGAGCCGTGTGGATGCGTTCACTAGAGCTGTCAAGATCCGTCGTGCTGTTATTGCTCGAACTCCTGCCACTTCCGCTATCACGGGCTCTTTGGAATGCTCGAAGCTCCCATACAAGGATTACAACTATACGCTTGTGCACGGTGCCTGCTGTGAGAATGTTATTGGATATCTACCTTTGCCTTTGGGAGTGGCTGGTCCTTTGACCATTGATGGCCAAAGCTACTTTATTCCCATGGCTACCACGGAAGGTGTGCTGGTGGCCAGCACAAGTCGAGGCGCCAAGGCGATCAACGCAGGTGGTGGCGCGGTCACTGTTCTGACTGGCGACGGCATGACTCGTGGTCCTTGTGTCGGTTTCCCTACTCTTGCACGCGCGGCGGCTGCTAAGGTCTGGATTGATTCGGAAGAGGGCCGAAGTATTTTGACTGCGGCTTTCAACTCTACCAGTCGGTTCGCCCGCCTTCAGCATCTTAAGACGGCTCTCGCTGGCACTTATCTTTACATCCGGTTCAAGACTACAACAGGTGATGCCATGGGGATGAACATGATCTCCAAGGGTGTCGAAAAGGCGCTCCACGTTATGGCGACTGAGTGCGGCTTTGACGACATGGCCACCATTTCCGTTTCTGGTAACTTCTGTACCGACAAAAAGGCTGCTGCTATCAACTGGATTGACGGCCGTGGCAAGTCCGTGGTGGCGGAAGCTATCATTCCTGGTGATGTTGTCCGGAGCGTGCTCAAGAGCGACGTTAATGCCCTGGTCGAGCTCAATACCAGTAAGAACTTGATTGGAAGTGCTATGGCTGGAAGCGTGGGTGGGTTCAACGCTCACGCATCGAACATTGTCACTGCTGTCTTCTTGGCAACGGGTCAGGATCCTGCGCAGAATGTCGAGAGCAGCAGCTGTATCACGACCATGAGAAAGTAAGTTGTCATACATTTTCGATTTGTTTCGTTGCTCGAGTACTAACTGGCCGACTTTCCAGCTTCAATGGCAACCTCCAGATCGCTGTGTCTATGCCTTCCATCGAAGTTGGCACAATCGGCGGTGGCACTATTCTTGAAGCACAGTCTGCCATGCTTGATATGCTCGGTGTCCGTGGTTCCCACCCCACCAACCCAGGTGACAATGCTCGGCAACTTGCTCGAATTGTCGCTGCCGCTGTTCTTGCGGGAGAGCTGAGCCTGTGCTCTGCACTTGCCGCCGGCCACCTTGTCAAAGCGCACATGGCGCACAACCGCAGTGCTGCCACGACGCGGACATCCACCCCCGTCTCGGCAGCCGTGAGTGCTGCTCGGGGATTGACGATGTCCTCCTCGAAGTGAATTCGGAGTAACGAGCGATTACTATTCGAGAGTTCGCGTACGCTTCCACTCCGCCCCAAGAGAGGAATGTAGCCGAGCCTTCGGCCAATCCAGCTACGTGGTAAGCTCTCCATGGCTCGGATTCTTCGCTGGCCGTCCGGAAGGCACATGGCCTTTAATGCAGGCAGCGGGCGAATGGCCAAGAGCCGAGGAAGGATTGTGGCCATTGGATACTTTTGGTCATGGCGTACATTCCCTATGATACCATGATATTTCCTGAAGGATTGCTATCCATGATTTCTGTTCATGGCGAAACATGAAGTATGGAAGTATGCTATATTCTGGATGGTGGAACTTGGACATGATAGAACTGTATAGAACTACTGAGGATTGATCATTGTACTAATTGGAATGAATGAACGATTAAGTGTGATTTTGCATAGGATGAAGTACGTCTAGAATATCAGCACACATAATCTGTCACTTTTGATGCGTATGGGCAAGTCCTGCGCATAGGTATCATTCCTCTCAGTGACGAGGTGATACCTAGTCACCGAAATTACGAATTCCATACCTATAACGATGGTAAGGTATCATTACCCTCCGAGCTACCAAGACCGCGTAACGCAGCGATCGCTCAGCGACCGGTCTGGACTCGAAGATTGTCAAAGGTCAAGGCCCGTATTTCACTTCCCAAAGTCCCCATAAGCCTACCTACGTACCCGCTTTTGCTTCATCTCGGGTAGAATAGTAAATATATTGGCCAAAAGAAATTAATGAAGAACCCACTGCTACTCAACCTTGAGCAATGTGCAGACCAAACTGAACCTAATTCCGTGGCATCGAACGGCTGAGATGGGATACCTGGGTACCTAGGTAGACAAGGGTGACCCCATGTCCGTATGTAAGGTAGGTAACTTTCGCCTATTGTTGAGAGTTTGGCGGTATCCTCGTTGTGGCTGAGAATCCGCTGCTTATATACCAGTTTACTCTGCTTCTGTGGGTATGTCAATAGCTGGCATGCCGCGTCAGAGCATCGTGGTGAGACTAAGAAAATGCTGTTCCATTAATCACGACATCGCTGCGTCTTCTGAATTGAACCCCCTATTCTTGTGTCAGGGAGCAAGTCGTGGTTTAGCACTTTGCGCTTCGCAGTGATTAGCACCGCCTCACATACGAACTAGACGGATAGGATAGCCTTTGGATCGGTTCCTGGGCGGTGGGGACTCAATCTGGCATACGGAGTAAATTCTGCGTAATATTTCAGCATGTACGGAGTACCTAAGGTAGGTAAGGTATGATTCTGGGATGCTGCAAGTTGAGTTTCTCAATTTTTCCGTGCAGGTTAAATCGACCGAGAATCATATAAGAAAGCCTGAGAATCCTGATTCTGTCTATGTAGGTCCGGAACAAAAATAGGCATGGTACCTGAAGTCCCACTGACTGTTGACCTGGAACAAAATGCTTGGTACCTATGGATGGAGCAGAAAGGTCCCCTTTTCCACGGACTGTAATCGTAATTCCATTCATGGGGTCTTGGGCTCTTTTCTGTAGGTACCTGAGGTATGGATTTCTTCATTCCCGTCTTCTTCTGTTCGTAATCGTACGGAGGACAGACTCTACTCCGTACAGAGAGAGTCTCCCCCCCAGTCTCCATCGGCCCTCCACTTCTTCCATCTTCAAACTACCTTTAGTCTTCGGGAGTCGGGCAAACGCTTGATTTTCTTCTGTGGCTGTTACTCCCACTTCCCTCCTGTGACGCTTCTCAACTTATCATCGATTTTCTTTTCTTGTCTCTTTTCTTCTTCTCCGTCTTCTTTCTCTTTTCGTCATCGTGGTGCTGGAAAGACGGTCCTTTTTTCCACTGTGGAAGAGTTTCTGCACCTCATTCCCTTTTGCTCATTGGCGCTTAGTTCGCTCCTTTTTTCATCACATTCCTTTCCTGCCATTTACATTCCGATCAGCCGCACGCATCCCCTACCGATCAACACGATCTCGCATTATCTGACGTCTATTCCCTGCCGAGTTAATCGAGTAACCCCTTGTCGATGGCCTTCCTTGTCGCAGTCATCAGTAGAACACCCGAATTCATGATCGCAATCTGCTCTTTGTCTCGTGTGTGAAGCTCCAACCGATTGGGGTGCCTTGAGCTAAGCAGCGGCGGCTACAAAGCGACGTGATCTTCTCCTACTCGGCCCCCTATGAATCCCAACCCAGGCACCATGTCCCCTGTCTCCGTAGATGGGAGTGATTGGTCAGGGATCAATCAATACCAGAAATCCGATCCACCATTCTCGCCTACTTTCTCGACTCGCAATAACCTCGCGACTCCTCCAACATCAGGCACACCCAGCGGGCTGGGTCCGAATAATGCGGGTGCGCCGAACGGGTCTACAAATGGCGCCAGCGACGCAGGCAACCCGTCGCCCCCGAGCTCAGTCGCGGCCCGGTCTAGCAGTGGAACTTTGGCCGAGGATCGCGGCAAGCGAACAAAACAGATGGAGGAAGTTCTTGGTCAACACTACTTTGCCCTGAGACGATTTCTTAATGCATCTTATCGGGATGAAAGAGCGAACAGTAAATCGAACAAAGCCCGAGACAAGCTGCTCAGGCTTTCGGCAACTCAGTTTCAAGAGCTCAGTACTGATGTTTACGATGAACTCCTCCGCCGGCAGCAGGCCATGCCTTCTCCCGGGCGGCCTGGTCCTCCGCGGCCCGATGTGCCGCCGTTCCTGCCTCCTCGGGAAGATTTCCATGAGAAACGCAATCAAGCACGCCAGAAACTCGCATCCCTTCAACACCCGCGGTTTAGAGACCTGGCTACGGACGTCTTCTGCGAACTGGAACGGCGCTTCCCTCAGTTCCCGGCACGGGAATCTCGCCGAGCTAGCCCCGCCCCAGCTTGCGTGGACGCCCGTCAAATGGTTACCCTCCAAATGGGTTCGGTCCTAACGGTTATCCTCCGCCTCCCGGCAGTCGGCGCTCTCAGTCTCGAGGTCCTCCAAACCGCATGGGAAGGGGATATCCCTCCGGCGGTCCTCCAGGCAGTCCAATGGGTGGGTACCCTCCCCGCCAAGGGTCCTTGGGTGGGCCGCCGTCGGTGAACGGTGATGTTGGACCGCAAGCCAAGTCATTCCAAAGCAACACGATTGTTCCAAATAAGAGTATCATGGTGGAGGACGATGACGATGTGCCCGGTACGGAAGACGATTACGACGCGAGGAGTGACGCTTTCGCTCTGGACGGTGTCTTGCAAAGCAGGAGAGGGACGACGACAACCCTAGGTGAGGGCGAACGGAAGCTTTTGGCGGACACGCAGTCGCAGGCGTCGGCATTGCAGGAGAAAGTCAACAAGTTGGAGGAATTGCTCAAACAAAAAGACGAAGAACTCTCCAGGTACCAAGAGGAACAGGACAAGGTGGACAAACTTGAGGAATTGATCAGGTCAAAAGATGAGGAGTTGTCGAAATTCCAAGAAGAGCATCAAAGATCTCAGGTACGCGACGCCCTAACTGACATGTTGGATTTCACACTGGTGTTTTAGTAACACGAAGAGCAGGTGACTGGCGCAGCAAAGCAAGAGTGGGATGCCCTCAAGATGGAACTCGAAAGCAAAATATCCCAGGCGGAAGAATTGAACACCTCTCTTCAGCTCGAACTCGAGAAGGTGCGAACCGAGCGTGATGACACGGAGAGAGATTTGAGAAATCAACTCAACGAGGCATCGCAGCAGAGTGCCGGGGACGCCGGGTTACAAGCTCGTTTTTCTGAGCTGCAGATCAAGTATCGGGACCTGCAGGCTGAGTTACACCATCAACAACAGGTGACAGAGGAAGTCAGACGAGAAGCCTCCACCTTTTTAATGGAGATGAAGGCTCTGTCGGAGCAAACCCAGTCCCGCTGGGAGCACGAAGAGCGATTGTCAGGCGAGGTTCAACGGCTGGAAGACGAATTACAGCAATGGAAGACCCGGTACGCCAAAGTCAAGACTCAGCTACGGCATCTTCGAGCATCATCCGGCATTTCAGAGACTCGTCCCGGCCTCAGCACAGTAACTCAAGATAACGGCTTCATGCAGGACGATGGATTGGTCAAGGATATACATGTTACCAAGTTCCAAATTTCCATTGACGAGTTGCTTCGCGTCGCACGATCCGATGAATACCAACTCGTGATGCACCAGATTAAGGGTGTTATTCTCGCAGTCCGTCATGTCCTCAATGACATTGAATCAACGCAGAACCCTGCCGACGGATTAGCAGCTGTGCGTACAAAAGCTACGCGGAAAGTGTCTGCGACGGCCAATAACATGATCACCGCGGCCAAGAACTTCGTCCGTTCGAATGGTCTTTCACCCGTTTCGCTCCTCGATGCTGCGGCATCGCACTTGTCGACTGCAGTTATTGAACTCGTTCGCCTCGTGAAAATCCGCCCCACTCCAGAAGATGAGCTCAACGAAAATGAAGAAGAACGAGACCAATTCTCGCAGATGAAGTCTCCCGACTATTTTAGCGTTGCTCCGAGCCAAAGCAGAATGAGTAATAATGACTCGATCTATAGTGCTATGAGCGATCCTTCTAATCGTACTCCAAATGGAACACATTCTCACTTGGATGCGGGGTTTCAGAATGGTTTCTTGACGGGCCCTCAGCTGAAATCTGAAGATCACGAGCTCCAGGAATTGAAAGTGAGTTGACTCTACTGTATCCTGTCTTCCCGGGTGAAAACTAATCCACTCTCTAGCTGTACATCGAGGACCAGACAGACGGGCTGGTCCAATCCATTCAGGCACTCGTTGCCAGCGTTCGTGCGGAAGAAGTTTTGACAACCATCAGCACCCATGTTTCGGCCATTTCTTCAATTGTCTCCAATGTCTCCTCATCCACAGAACATTTCATCAACGAATCCAACGCTGGTCGCGTCCTTCGGGAACGCTCTGGGCCCATACTTCAGACGCTAAACCTGCATCGGACTCGTCTCTTAGAAACCACAGCCGAGGGCGAGGATGCCGTAAATATTGCGGAACACCGAGAGGTTATCAAGAAACTTCCACCCATTGTTTTCGAAATCGCTAGAGAAACAAAGGAACTTGTCCATCGACTTGACCTTACCGATGATAATGATTCCGAAGACGACTTCCGGTAGCAATCGGCAACGAATTTACTCAGTGCCTCGACCGTTTGTCGATAAGCTTGCTCTCTCTCCATCTTCCTTGACTTTCAATTTTTTAATTTTTTTTTTCTCCTCTATAATTTTCTGTCTTTCATTCTTCTGAAAAGGCAGAACTGGTATCTTTACCAGAAGCTCTTGACTTGGGTGCACAGGAGCGCCTGCAGACTGCCAAATTTCTGATTGATTTTACAGCTATTATGCATGACAATGAGCGGCCATGTGAAACGAAGTGTTCTTTAGTGGAGCTTCATGACTTTTGTCCTTCATCATTCTTCTTAGGATCTAATCTTAATGTCGACTTGGTGTATTATTATGTGATTTGGTTTTTGCTATCATTCTTGTACACCGATTCCGCTCCAGTTTCGTTCCTCGCAACGATTAGCGTTTTGACCTTTATGATCTTCGAGGCTCAAGCGGTGGTGTCTTTTTCTTCTTGCTTGCAGTTTGCCCGGGCAATTCTGCTCCTTGATTTTGCCTATTGACTTTTCGTTATTACTACCAATTCGCGTTTTGATATCTCTATCGCATTGGAAGAACAGACTGTTTCTGGTCCATCGTACATTCAATTTACTTTTGGCCTTATATTGGTACCGTATAACAGCCTACTCCGCAGAGGCTAATCCAAGACAGAACCGCTGCTTCGCCAGCATACTTCTGACCATATCTTCCTTTAGTTTACGATCACGTGATAATATAACGTGACTTGCTACGTTGGAGATCGTATCCGCCTTACTCCGTAGAAACTCCTTTTTCTCCTCACTTGTTCCTGAGTTCCAACAAGTTTTCGAATCATTGTACCTCCAGTGTATCATTATATAATCATAATTTTCTGGCGCCATACTATTTCGGGATTCTACTCTAGTTTTTCTCCCCTGCTTCTATCTTCACGTCTGGTTCGACTGCTTCCATACGGCACATCACAGTTCGCAGCATTCATCTTCTTCGATATCAATTCAAGGTGAGTAGCACCTCTCAGTTTCTCTGCAGACTGGACATTCTCATGTCATGTGTTCCCAATTGCTTCTATGGGATGGGTTTGCTGCGCTCTTGATGCCCCTGCAAAGGACGACTCATCCCTAGCACTGGGCCTGATTGCTGTGAGCTTGCTATATGCAGCCAACTACTGGCCAGCCAACCACGTGGGAGCCTGAGGCTAGCAACATTCCCGACGGCTTACCTAAACCTACGCACAATGGCACTTTTCGGCTGACGCAATGGTTTTTTTCATTGTACTTTATAGTCCCGTGACTGACGGCCCCCCCCATTCGGCCGCCGTATTGACCCGCTTCTGCCCCTCCTTTTAGTTCCAGCACCAACTAGCAACAATGTTCTCCCGTAGCCTGAGGTCAACAATAACCCCACCTTGCTCGTCCTTCTCTTCTCGTCCCTCCTCTCCTCCGTTGTCAATTGCAATCAGTCCTCCTTCCTGTCTCTTCGCAGATTCCATCAAACCCCCTCCGCCATGTCTCAGGTCTTCTTCGACGTTGAGTACGCCCCTGTGGGGACCGCTGAACGTAAGTTCCTCCACGCCCTCCCTGTCTTTATTCTACATCTTTCCGGGCCCGGGGTACAATTGCATTACCCCTCCATCCCGCTTTTCAGCATCGGCGCGGAACTGTGCTCAAAGCGGGATGGATTGAATCCGGCTTCAATCAATGCTTTCGAATCTTTTTACTGACGGTATCTTACTTCGTGCCTTGACAGCCAAGGTTGGCCGTATTGTCTTCAACCTCTTCGATAAGGAAGTCCCCAAGACGGCCAAGAACTTCCGTGAGCTCTGCAAGAAACCTGCTGGCGAAGGCTACAAGGAGTCTACCTTCCACCGCATCATCCCCAAGTTCATGCTCCAGGGTGGTGACTTCACTCGTCACAATGTGAGTTGTCGTCATACACGACCCCGCCCTCGCCGGACCCGTTACCTCATATTGCTTTCTGGGCCCTGAATAGGACTTGAGAACTAATATGTACAACTTTTTGCGCGCAGGGCACAGGTGGTCGCTCTATCTACGGCGAGAAGTTCGCCGATGAGAACTTCATCCGCAAGCACGACAAGGAGGGTATCCTCTCCATGGCCAACGCTGGTCCTAACACGTAAGTTGTATCCTGCGATTCATCTATGTTTTTAAGAGGTACCTGAACTTGTACTGATCGCCTTGTAGCAACGGCTCTCAGTTCTTCATCACCACGGCTGTGACTTCCTGGCTCGATGGCAAGCACGTTGTCTTTGGGGAAGTTGCAGATGAGAAGTCCTACAGCGTCGTCAAGGAGATCGAGGCTCTCGGAAGCAGCAGCGGTTCTGTCCGTTCCAACACTCGGCCCAAGATCGTCGACTGTGGTGAGCTGTAAGCAATGAAAAGGGGAAGATAATGGGTTCGATCAAACGGGAGCCTCTCGGTTCTGACGACTCTAAAGATGAAGCCTGTGGCTTTCTGTTCTCCGATCAGGCCTTGGGGGTCCCGACGTCTCCTTTCTTGCGTGGTGTAATCTAGAACTGTTCCCGAATTATTAGCCAAGCATGTCTCTGTCCACTTTCAATCTGTGCCGGCAATTGCTTCTAGTCGGTTCCATTTCTGATCGCCTGTATGTCTTTACCGTCCGCCCTCGTAGCTAAGCCCCTGCTGCACCATGCGATCGACACGTCATGTCTGGTTCGACAGTTTTTAGGAAGACGGGCTTGAGAACATCAGGCTGAAGGTGAGCATCAGATATTGATTGATTGAATACAAGTATAGGTTATTTGGCCCAGATTGCGAAGATCAGTTCCATCAGCCATATCTTGATTTTACGTCAATGAAACGACTACAGCATTGATCATGAAGCTAGATGGTGAACTTCTGTTTTATTATTGATTGTTGTCATTGATCTCATATTACAAACATCTTGAGGTATCTTCTTCTATCGCGGATCTGAGAGTGGGGAAGCGGAACGCTTGAACCGAGAGGTCATTTGAAGTCGGACTAATAAGAGCGACTCATATGAATTACAGACCGGACCGAGGAGCACATCTATCCGCAGCATTTGGTGACCGTCGTAGCATCATTCCTAAAGCAAAAGACACAAGTCAGATCGAGCCCTTTGCATATCATCCGAGGAAGAAGAGGGGAGGGGAACGACATACTCCTTCTGCAGATTCAAAGGCTCCCAGGAGAAGATGAAGGAACCCAGAAACGCCCCGATGAAGATACAGATAATGATGTACCCGTTGAAGTACATGGCCAGCAACATGACAAAGTACGCCACCGCGAACTGCAGCATATGCAGCATCGCGCGCACCAGCTGCTCGATCAGCGTGGGGCGGACGGGCGTCTTGTCCTCGAGTGCGCTGCAGATGGTCTGCGGTGCGCCTTTGGATGCTGCGCCTTGGACGCTGCGGGTGGTTTCCTGAGAGTTTTCGGCGCTGGCGTCGGCGTCGGCGTCGGTGGCACAGGTTCGGCCTTGGGATGAGGCGGTTGCAGAGAGGTACTGCTTTCTCAGGTGGGCGCGGCGGACGATGAAGGCGTCGTACTCGCGGCCGACGCGGCGGAGGAACTCGAGGCAGATGACGAGGCAGATGACGCCGATGCAGGAGCCGGCGAACATGCCGCGGGAGGTGTTGTGCCATTGACTGGAGAGGAAGCCTGTGATGTTGGCGTTAGATTTGGGGGGCGGGGAGAAGTGAAGAGGCTGAAGCTTACAGGAATCGATGGTGTACCAGTTCCATAACATCTAGACGGTTGGGGACGTCAGCGGATGATTATTGTTCGATATTGTCGTCGGTGATGTGCTTCGAGTCTGCATACCGAGATCTTGCACGAATGCATGCCGCCCATATCCATTCCACCCATATCCATGCCGCCCATGCTATGAGCACTGCCGGTGCTCATGGCGGCGCTGGCAGTCGAGCTTGCGGACATGGCCATGGTCATGGTCGAAGTCATGGACGCCATGGAGTCCATATCGTGGTTCATATGATCCATTGTTCTGGTGGGATAGACGACTGTAGATGCGAAGGGTTATGATTTTCCGATGAGGTGCACTCGAGGTAGCGAGTCAGTCAATCCCTGACCTGGAAGACAGGGACAGGGAGGAGAGGTGGAATAGAGACTGGGAGAGGATAGAAGAGCAGACCAGAGCAATAGAGGGAAGGGTTGAAAAAGAGGAAAGACAGCGGTTATCTACATAGAGATAGCAAGCAGTGGCACCCTGGGAGAAAGTGAAGTCGTACAGCTAGACAGGCCCATCAGGGAACAAATGAGCTGCTCCCTGGTCCCTTTCTCTGCTCTTCTGTGGCTCGATCGCATGATCCGGCTAGTCATTGAGTGGATATCAATTCGAGTATTCTGCTCTCTGTTTCATAATTTGTGCTCGAAAGAGCTCAGTTTGCTGTTTGCTAAGAAGTCCGCTGCTGCAGCCCAAACCAATTAGGGTTTGGGTGCGAGTGGAATTGAGCACATTTCGGCCGCTTGGCTTCTATGGCCCCCAGAACACTATTAGAATCTGAGGTAAGGAACTGGGTCTCTGCTTATGGAAAAACGAGTTTAGCCTTACAGGATTTTATCGATGTGTAAAAGAAATGGAATGGTTAAAAAAATAAATATGAATCACCCAAAGGTACAATCACCCCATCTATCATCATAACCGCGACGCCCAACTCCCATAGAGTATACATGCAGGGTATAAAAGTATCGAGACACATGATGTCAAGTAGATATCATACTCCCCGGTTTGTCCCTTTGATGACTCCTTCCAAGATCTCCCGAATCTGCTTGCATCCGTCAATTCCGACGGCAAGCATTGTCTCGAGATACGTGCAATGGACTTTCGAGTCCATCACCATCATAGAGACCTTCATATCCTCTTCGTCCTCGTCCATCGCGTCCTCTCCAACAGGAATAGCTGTTGTTGTCCCAACTGTCAGGAAAGGAAGCTCTTGTTCTTCTGGCAGTGACAGATCTAGAAGAGGATCCAGAAAGTCATTCCGGGGATCACGTGGCGTAGAGGCGCTGCCGCTCATGCCAGAGGTACAGGCAGAGAGCAGACCCGGCATCGGAATACCGGCGTCGACAAGGGCCAGGGTGCACGCATTGACCGCTGCGGCGAGGAGAGACCCGTCAGCCGACAGGACTGAGACGTGAATGCTAATCGTACTGTGTGGATAGAGGTGGGTGTGAAGGTGGGATTGAAAGGCCGAGCGCAGTATCGTAGCAATTCGTGAAGATTGCCTATGTTGGGACATGTTAGAACGAAGCGAAAGAGATGAAGCGTAGCAATAAGGTCTCATACCTGTCGCTGCCTCCAGCCCTCCTCCTGCGATCAACGCCTGCAAACCCCGCGACGTTGACGTCGACCTCGACCACAGCTCCGGCTGATCCTGCAGCACCTCCTGTCGCGTCGCCCCTCTTTCCCTCCGCTGGACCATGAACAGAGCACATTATCGATGTATTTCCCATGGACAAAAAGGATGACCCAGAACTGGCGGGGTTGGTAGAAATCTGGGCTTGAAGAAGGCGGAGCTCGTTCCAGCGGCGTCCATCAAGGCGCAGCTTCGTAAGAGGATACGTTGTAGAGGTATCGAGAGGCATTTTGAGTTCTTAAGTTATCGTTATTGTCCACCAATTTCTGTTCCTCATCAACCGGTTTCGCAACGGTTCACGTTTTATGCTGGTCACGAGGAATTTTTCCGAAGACCTCAGGGACGCCAGACAGGTGTTAAGCAATGTAAAGTAACAATGAAGAAAAAGCGCTTGTAAAGCTAGTGAAAGTTGACCCAGGATTATGCCAATACTAAATGACGTACGAGGAATTGCACGGGCGAACGAAGGTGACAGAGGGGGGAGGTCGAAGTGAGAGCGGACAAATTCAGTTTGCGGCCAACAGCTCTTTTCCTTGTCGGGAAACCCGCCTGATAAGTATCCGTACTCCGCTCTCCGCATCCTCACCAACGCTTCCTCTGCGTGTCTGGAGATAAATTTCCTGCCCCTCCTTGATCCAGCATGGGCGGAGATTGGGAGTTACAAGACACCGACGTATCGACTGTTGATAATTCGGACGATGACGATCTCGATGGCACTCATTCCTCGAAGCCGTCAATACCTCCTCGCTGTATGTTTCTCCGCATGTGTGCTTTAGCTACTAGCTAATCTGAGGAATTTGGGTTTAGATAGAGACCGTGCACTCAAATCAGACCCAGAACCACCTCAGTTCGCCTCCGATCATGAGCATCCCAAGGTCAAGCAGTTGTCGTCCCCTTCCAACCGCGATACCTCCGTCGTTGACCTAGCCGATACCGACAGTGGCGACGATTCCTTCAATGATGGCGAAGCAGCGTATAAGCAGTTCAAAGAGAGGAAAGCTATCAAGCGGAAGCGCAGCAGTGCCAATCTTCGCAAGTCTAAGAAAACCAACGTGGCGAACCGTGACTCGTTCGTCGGCAAAAGGCCGAAGAAAGAGGAGGAGAAATCCACTCGCACGCGACCCGTTCTGAGGACATATGGGGAAGAGCTTCCCTCAGACGATGAGCTCATGGAATATACGCTTCCGGACTATCTGCAGAAGCGTCGCACACAGTTCGACCGTCGGATGGACCACCTGAAGGAGTGCGGGTTGAAGCTGCCACCAGATTTCGATGACGTGGAATTCTCGGACGATGAGCGGTTAGAGTTCCTCAAGGAGAAACCTGCATTCGCGAATATAGAACCTTGCGGGAAGTACGAGGACATAACCCTTCCATACTCGCTCGGTTTAATTCCGGCGCCAATTGCCCAATGGTTGCGGCCCTATCAGGTTGAAGGTGCCGCCTTTCTCCATGAACTTTTTGTTTATCAGAAAGGGGGTATTCTAGGTGACGACATGGGTCTGGGAAAGACGGTGCAAGTGATTACTTTTCTCACTGCTGCATATGGGAAAACTGGTGACGAACGAGATGCCAAAAGAATGAGGAAGATGAGGCGAAGTGGCCGGGATGGATGGTATCCACGCACCTTGATTGTCTGTCCAGGAACCTTGCTTCAGAACTGGATTTCGGAATTCAACCGTTGGGGCTGGTGGCATGTTGATACATATCATGGGGACAACAAGGAGCTCGCGCTGCAGGCCGCGAGGTCAGGTCGCTTGGAAGTCCTCATTACAACCTATGGCACATATCTGCACAACAAGGATGCCGTGAACATGGTTGAATGGGACTGCGTGGTGGCAGATGAGTGCCACATCATTAAGGAACGCAGCTCGGAGACAACAAAAGCAATGAACGTGGTCAACGCACTTTGCAGAATCGGATTGACGGGCACCGCAATTCAGAACAAATACGAAGAATTGTGGACGCTGCTCAACTGGACGAATCCGGGAAAACTTGGCCCGGTTACGACCTGGAAACGTACCATCTCAGAGCCGTTGAAAATTGGGCAGTCACACGATGCCACTCTGTATCAACTCAGCAAAGCGCGCAAGACAGCGAAGAAGCTCGTCGAAAATCTCCTACCTCAGTTTTTCCTACGGCGCATGAAGACACTGATAGCCGATCAGCTTCCGAAGAAGAGCGACCGGGTCGTTTTCTGTCCGCTCACCGAGACGCAGGCAAGTGCTTACGAAAACATCCTCGACAGCGACATTGTTCAGTACATCAAGACATCCTCCGACAAGTGTGACTGTGGCTCAGGAAAGAAAGCAGGCTGGTGCTGCCGGCAGTTTCTGCCCTCCGGGGGCAGATGGCAGAACTATGTATTCCCCGCAATAGCCATACTCCAGAAGCTCAGCAACCACCTTGCAACACTCATACCGCAAGGGGCAGACTCCTTGGAGAAGCAAGAGAAGGATAAAGAGATGCTGGAGATTGCCGTGCCCGACCAGTGGGAGCAGCTCTATCGGACTCGAGACTCCATTGTCAACTACGCCAACCCCGAATTCTGCGGGAAATGGAAGGTCCTCCGCAAGCTTCTGAAATGGTGGCATGCGAACGGTGACAAGGTGCTTGTGTTCTCGCACAGCGTCCGTCTTCTCAAGATGCTGCAGATGCTCTTTCATTACACCAGCTATAGTGTGAGCTACCTGGACGGCTCCATGACTTATGAGGAGCGGACTAAAGTTGTCGACGAGTTCAATTCCGACCCAAAGCAGTTTGTCTTTCTAATCTCGACCCGGTCTGGAGGTGTTGGCCTGAACATCACCTCGGCGAATAAAGTCGTGGTCGTCGACCCGAACTGGAACCCCTCGCACGACTTACAGGCACAGGACCGAGCGTACCGAATCGGACAGACCCGCAACGTCGAGGTCTTCCGCCTGATCTCCGCCGGCACCATTGAGGAAATCGTCTACGCGCGTCAGATATACAAGCAACAACAGGCCAACATCGGCTATAACGCCAGCTCCGAACGGAGATACTTCAAAGGAGTGCAGGAGAAGAAAGATCAGAAGGGCGAGATTTTTGGGCTCGACAATCTGTTTGAGTTCAAAACCAACAACATCGTCCTCAGGGACATTGTCAACAAGACCAATGTCGCCGAGAGCAAGGCCGGCGTCCAAGTCATGGACATCGCCGTCGACGAATCCGACACAGCGACCAGCACGCTCGACAGCACCTCCGAAACCAAGAATCAAGACGATCAAGTCATGAGCCAATTAGCCGCCATGATCCGCGGCGACACCGACGACGCCCCACCCCAGGCCCAGACCGCCGTGACGGCTCAGAAACACGATCCCATCCAGGCCATCCTCGCCGGCGCGGGCGTCGAATACACCCATTTGAACAACGAGGTCATTGGGTCGTCCAAGGTGGAAGAGCGACTCAGTCGGCGTGCCGAGCTAGCCGATGAAAAACTAGGCGACGTACAGGTCTTCGGGTCTTCGCAAGACAGGACCGGGCGGGATGCTATTCTCGACAAGGGCGGCCGGCCTATTCGGTACAAATTCCATCCACCACGGGAGGTGATGAAACGGCAGTTTTGTAGTATGGCGAAGCGGTTCGGGTTCGCTAGTGCCACGGAGTTTGCGCTTGTGGTGGAGGGTATGACGCAGGCTCAGAGACGGGCGTGTTTGGAGCGGTGGTATACCGAGCGACGGGACATTCTGTTAGGCCAGAGGTGATATTCTGGATTGGGAAAACGGGCGTTCGATCTGGTCGGGCTTTTTTGTTCGAGAGATACCCTTTTGCTTAGCGGGAGTTGGAGTTTACAAGGCAGCGTTTATTTGGCTGCGCGGTGATGTTTGTATATTAATGACTACGAGAAGAAATTGGCATTACAATACGCAAAGAAAGTCATATCATTCCATGAATCATGCTTATGCATTGTGGAGTACTAAAGAGTTCCCGTTACTATAGCCAGGCCAGGGTCCACAAAGCCGGCAAATTAGGCCACTTCTCCTGCCACGAAGCCAGAATCTCAGGTACGCGTTCGTCGAAGCTCCTACGGGCGTCGCCGTTACCGTTTTCCCAGCCCTCGGCACCATGAATCTTACGTTCCTGGGTCGCCGCATCGTTCAGGCGCGTGGCTAATTCGAGGATGGCCTTCCCTCCTACCAAGGCCTCCTCATGGTTATCTCTGATATCGACATTGAACACGTGGACTGGTCGGTTGAGGGCCGCGCCCTTGTTCATGAGATCGTCTACGACGGCATCCCAGCACCGCTCCTCGCAGGTGATGATGACGTCGACCGTGCCTCCTTCCGTGCCCAGGGCACCCTTGTCGCCTTTCGACACGTGGTCCACCCGCGGCATTCCGGGAACCCAGTCCTGGAAGCGCTCCGGGCCCCATTTCAGATTCCGGTTGCGGTCAAGCATGTTCAGAAGGCCATTATTACGGTAGAGTCTTTCGTCCTTGGAGAGGAGCTCGTCATACATTTGCGAGTACGAGGTGGTGTTGAAGTTGTAAACATTAGGTTGAGTGATGGATGGTCCTGGAAGACGGACCAGGGACCCCGTTCCGAATGAAATAACGGGGAAGGGAGAGGGCGCCGTCGAGAGCCGGAGATGGGCTTCCATTGAACGGTTCTGGTTCGATGCACATACTGTGCAGAACTTTAGCTTGAATGACTCTGACGACTGTGCGGGTGCAGATGCTTCTGCGGCCTGCGCCTCGCCTGTCCCCGTTGTGGACGTCTCCGGGGGTGGAGGAGGGGGCGGAGGTGGTGGATTGGGAGTGGCAGTGCCCGCACTGGATAGTCGAGGGTCATGAGCCATGTTGAGCGGCGATGCAATCAAATATCACCGAGTGTGATACGTTATTCTTAAAGAAATGGAAGTGACTGTTTAGGAGTCGTCTTTACGAGACCAAATTCAAGGAGGCTGGAAGGTGTGTTCACTTGTTCCTTGTAAGAGCTGCATTCAATTAGCAAGATTGAATGGTGATACTTGCAAAAGTAATAAGCAAGGAAACAAAGTGCAAAGTATCAGAAGTCTATTATGCGTATAAAAAGGTTGTCCGCATTGTGTAGCTAGGACAGCTCCAATAAAAAGAGATCATCATGTGATGGCACAGCATGGGTTGATAGATTGATACTTTGTAGTACATACCTTGAGAATGCCTCTCATTATCTGCGTCTTGAAATGAGCCTGATGTACTGTTGTCAAACTGTATGATCTAGACAGATGGATGAAGGGCCGCAGCCCTGATGGCAGAAGTGAAGAATCTTGCGTGTGTTTTTGCTTCTCGCGAAGCTTTTGGGTGCTGTGCTGAGTCAGCAGGAGCTTGGATCCTGCGCTAACCCCCCTTCTAGAACTGACCATGATTGGCGTTGAGACTACGGAGTACTGAGTAGTGATACAGAGCAACTGAAGAAGTGCCTGATAAGTCTTGAGTAGACGCCTGTCAAAATAGCGGTGACACCATCATGAATTCTGGGCTTGACGCAGCCATTGCAAGCCTTACATTCATCTATCTCAGTTCCCCCGGACAAACAGAGCAGAATCACGTGATTACCTCTTGCGGGTTGTGTCTTGGCATTATGGTCTAACCAGTGCCCTCCTCCAACAATGTGTCTTCCCAGGCTGCTGGATGCTTGCATTATCTTCAGACTGTGGATTATGGTCAGCTGATTGGAGAGTATGACGCACCAGGCTGGCGACAACTGAGACAACACCCAGAATAAAAGGGGAACGCGCATGCTTCGTGCCCGTATAGGGTCGACCATTGCTTCTGGAAGGGCAATACAAACTAATTTCACTAGACTTTTAACCCAAGAAAGCCGTCACACCCAACTCATGATGAAGGCAGCGTTAATTGTGGTAGATATGCAGGAAGACTTTTGCCCACCGGTCAGCACAGCTTGCTCTCATGTCTGTGGAAAGAAGCTCATAGCAACAGGATGGATCACTCGCGGTACAAGGGGCTCGCTCCATTGCACCACTCATCAATGCCTTGCTCGCCAACCCAGGCTTCGTGATACGCGTAGCCTCGCAAGATTATCACCCCCAGAATCATATATCCTTTGCGATCAATCATCCCGAGCCTAACAATCGCCCCTTTGAGTCCGTCTTCCAGATGACCAATCCGGCGCCTGGAAAGGAAAAGGACACCAAGGAGCAAAGGCTATGGCCCGTTCATTGTGTTGGAGGGACCAAGGGGTCCTTTATCATCCCTGAGATTGACAGCAGTAAGATTGACCTGCACGTGAAAAAGGGCATGGATCCGCGGGTTGAGATGTACTCTGCCTTCTCTGATGCGTTTGGCAACCTTGACCCAGACGTTCATGCTCAGTCCGTGGATGTTGATCTCAAAGCAGTGTTGGCGGAGAGGGGCATCACGCATGTGTTTTCAGCCGGGATCGCTGGGGACTATTGTGTCAAAAACACGGCTATGGATGCCGCGAGGGCAGGGTTCAAAAGTTATCTTGTCGAGGATGCGACCAGAAGCGTTGATCCTGTTGTAGGATGGGACGAGGCCAAGCGAGAGTGTGAAGCAGCCGGAGTAACAATCATTCGATCGGACGGGCCTGAGATTGCGGCTCTTACTGCGACTTAGTTGCCGTATCGAGAGGAACTGCACTGAAGCGTATGTTGAGGTTCTACCCCATGCTCATGGCACGAAGTAAGCTGTTGAATGGCAGTTCGTGAGACCATGGCGTTGGACCATACGATATTGACCCTAAGATAGATAGTTTGTACTGATCGGTATCCATGTCTTTATTGGAAGAGTCAGGATACTGGAGGTAGAAACCTGATATCAAAAGGTTGTTTCAGCATTGCTTAGGTTGAATTAATGATTTGACAATGACACTGCTCCGCAGTGGAGAACCATGCTTTTGGCATTTCTCCCCAGGCTCATTTGCATTCATAGTTGTTCTTGGCTTGGACTGCCCTCTAAGATTGCGAGATAGTGAAAGAATGAAAGGCAGCTCGAATATTTTACCCTATTGTATCTCTATATAAAGGAGAAACTAAAAGCTACGCAAACAATAGGAGAACATTCTGGGCGCTCTTGCGGGTCCTTTGACGGGTCGATCCCCTTGCCAGTTAACGGTCCCTTGCGCTGATCAGGGTCAATTCAACTCAAGGAGTTCATAATCTCATCCCACGTCTGGGGGGCACTTCTCTTTCCTCAACACAGCATGTCATTTCTGATTGCTCTTCCAATCTCGTCAGCCTGTAGCTTAAGTGTTGCCTAAGCGCAGATCTTATTTCGCTCGCTTCGGGACCTTCACGGAAGTATACCATAACTACGCTAGGGGAATCGCTATACACACCAGCGACGCAATGTCTACAAACACAAGCCTCTCAACACCAGCAGGGACGTTCACAACCATTGATAAGAACCTTGAAAAACCTACCATCAGCGCCTCAACTGCGCACCTAGCTCAGAACAGGAACTTGAGGGAGAAATTACTGTACTGGCTCGTCAATGTGCCCCCGTCACAGTGGCCGGCGGAATGTCCTGCGTTTCTGCGCGACTTACCGGCCAAGTCCATTTCAATTCTGTCGACTCCAGATACGGAGTACAAGAGGCAGGATTGGGAGATGGTGAAGGAGATTGTTAGTAAGTGGGCCCGGGTCGGGGTATTGTGCGGCAACTCGTTGCTGACGTGTTATAACCAGGAAGTAACCGGATAGACCTGTTCCAGCGCGTTCCGAGCGAACTGAGAAGGTATCTGGAATTTAAAGCGCACATTGTGGCCAAGTATGGATCGATCATGCGATTCATGGTCAGGGAGAGGCTCCGCTGGGGGACGGAGACGCTGATGACCTGAGGCCCAAGGGACGGCCGTTTGAATTCGATGGTTCGTTCGCTCCTATTACTGAGTAGACTGATCGTTCTGATGTGCCTTCATGCAGAGGACATTCGGATCTTGTACAATGACTGGCCGTATGGGGTCGAGGAGGGCATTGTGCATCTGGTCGTGTGGACCAAGTTCGAGCTGGAAGATGATCCTGCCACGGATGATTTGACGCCTCGAGCGAGGAAGGAGATCGATGATTATGTGATGAGGACGTTTCGGTCGCGGATGCCGGCGGAACAGGTTTGCTGTTCTCACTGACGATGAGAGATTCAGTCTACTAAACAAACACAGGTCATCTGGTTCAAGAACTGGAAGTCGCTCAAGTCGGTCCACGCAGTTGAACACTTTCATGTCATGCTCTATCAACCGGACATGGAATTCGTCAAGGAGGTTACTCAGGGGGATGTGCCAATGAAGGCAAGGTTCTGAGCTGAGGTCTCACATGGTTGCCTATATAATCATCCATAGTACTTTACTGCCTTGACTTGGATTTGCTTCATATAGTTAGGGCCGGGTGGTGTAAGAAGGGTCCTGAGACTAATTTACCCAGACACTTGGGAGACAGCCCGACATAGACTACAGATATTAGGTAGATGGATAGATAGACAGATATATACACAGTTCACGTTAATCTTGACCAATTGATCAAAAGAGTATCTATACGAGTACGGCGTACACGATCCCTAAGTAAACCCCACCTGCCAAGCGTCTGCCCCTCGCCATCTGTCGGTGAGAAGTAGAAAGACGATTACGTGTGTGAGTGTGACAGGTGCTGAAAGACAATGTATAAGATCCCGAACATTAGGAGAGAAACAGTAGGTGAAAATAGGAGAATTTAATTGAGACCATCTTACCACAGTGATTGTACGTGGTAGGTAAATGTCTTGGACTCTTTGTAGGAACTGTGGGGATTGAAACGGTGATGCCTCTTCAGCCTTCTCTGAGATTCTGTATTGGTAACGTCACTCCCTGCTGGCTGCTCCACCAGAGTATAAACTAGACTATGAACAAAAGAAGAGTACTATTCTCGATTGGATTAAAATAGAGTGGTTAAAGGGAAAAATAAATAGTATGCCACAATAGTCAAGCGAGAGGGAAAAGAAAGGGGAAAAAAGGAAAAAGAAGTCATCGATACAAAATCCTCTTCTGTTTCTTCTCTCATTCTTCCAACTTCATCCTGATGTAGATACTGCGCAAGCCTCCTCTCACAAAGGAACCACAAGACCTGTCAACTGGTTTCATAAATATCTATCGATCTACCTAACAGAAGGAAAGAAAAGAGACATCAGAAAAAGACTCCCAAAGCGACTTTTCCTTCAAGAAGACCTCTTTTTCCCGTTCTCTTTCTCTTTCTCCTCTCCCCTCCCCTCTCTCTTCTCTCCTCTCCCTACGGGATAACTATACCATTTATTTGACTCTACTTATTACTACTGCTTGTTATATCACAGTAACGAAATGCCTGTGACTGTTCCGCATATTCGCCGGCGCTCGTCTGTGGCCACATCCAGTGAGTAGATCCGGAGTACATACTCCTGTCAACTGTCATATATCTACTCCATAATAGAATGACTGTTGTTGCTGTCTTCTCTCCAACACGTCATACCCGTCTTTGCTCGTCCCTCCCCTCTAATCATTCTCTCCGCCTAATTTTTTTCCGTCCATACTTTGGTTACCTTATCATTACCACGAATTTTGTTCCAGTTATTCTTCTTCTTTATATACTCTTAGCTGTCTACATCGCCATCTGTCATTTCACTCTATCATGTCCGCTGACTGGGGCTCCTTTTTCCATCATTCTTCAGGTACTCGTTCCTCCATGGATGAATCAAAGCCGGAAGGCGGAAGCGGGGAAGATGAGGTCGTTGAGCCTGAACAGGGCAATGGTATGTAATTATTACAAGGTTCAGTTGCAACAAGGAGCTCGTCCCCCGGAGGCTCTATTCTCGGCTGTAATATAGGCGCTTACTCCTTTGCTCAGTGCTGTCTCATATCATTTCCCAGCTCCGACCGGGCGCAGACCTGAGCCGAGTCGTACTGCCTACCTTCATCCTGGAGCCTCGCTCCATGCTGGAACGGATCACCAAGTATGTGTGCTCGGACCTCGCTGTGATGCCCTGGCTAATCATGATCCCTATGGAAAGCTTCATGGCTCATCCGGAGACCCTTCTTCCCATGCCCACGATCGATGACCCCCTCGAGCGCTTCGTTTCCGTCGTCAAGTTCTACCTGAGCGGATGGCACATTAAACCTCCGTACGTGCACTCGACTTGCTCCCATTCCGTTTCCAAAGATGAGACATCCTTTCTAACGTGGATACTGCAGAGGCGTGAAGAAGCCGCTGAATCCGATTCTCGGAGAGACCTTCACTTGTTACTGGGATTACCCCGATGACACGCGAGGGTATTACATCGCCGAACAGACCTCTCACCACCCTCCTAAGTCCAGCTATTTCTTCATGGCGCCAGAACACCACATCCGAATTGACGGGACGTTGAAGCCTCGCAGCAAGTTCCTAGGAAACTCGGCGGCAAGTATGATGGAGGGTGTCGCCATTTTACGTTTCCTGAACCGCGGCCAAAACCCAGAGAAGGGTGAACGATAGTATGTGGCCGCATATCCCACTTCCATGAACTGCAGCGATGGACGTTGTTCATCTGATACTAATTTCACTGTGTTCAGCATCCTGACACAACCGAATATGTACGCCCGGGGCATCCTTTTTGGAAAGATGAAGTATGAGCTCGGTGATCATAGCTACGTCCGTTGTCCCGAAAACAATCTAGTCGCCGATATCGAGTTCAAGACGAAGGGGTACTTTTCCGGCACCTACAATGCAATCGGAGGGACGATCAAGAACGAGAAAACGGGCGAGATATACTATGAGCTGTCTGGACTCTGGAACGGAGAGATGTTCATCAAGGATGTTCATGTGTGCTGCCCGAGTGTGTCCTAGAATAACCACATACTGACTTTTATAGACTCACAAGAAGGATGTCCTGTTCGACGCAACGCACGCAAAACATACGCCACCCCGTACCCGGCCGATCGAACAGCAGGGCGAGCGGGAATCGCAACGGTTGTGGCACAGCACAGTCAAGGCGCTCCTTGCCCGCAACCACGAGACAGCAACGGACGAAAAGACAAAGATTGAAGACCGTCAACGTGAAGAGGCCGCTAAGCGGGCCGATGAAGGAGTGGAATGGCGTCCGAGGCTCTTCCGCCCTGTTCACGGAGGCCCCGGAGGTCCCGATGAGGGTGAGGAGGACTTGGACTGGATCATCAGCGCGCATATGTAAGTGTGAACGGGCGCCTTCTTTTATCTTTCGATAGGAAGTTGACCACGACCTACAGTGACTCGCAAAACCCCGAACTCGCTGCCAAACAAATCCTAGCCATCGCGCCCATCCTGGATGGCCAGAAAGACAACAGCCAATTCCAGATTCCACCCCACGCACCAAAGAAAGAGGAGCAAACCGCTCCCTCCGCATCTGACCCTGTTGATGTAAAGAACACTGGTAGTGGCACTGGCTCCGAAGCCTCAGAAGCTCCCCAACCTTCGAGTGAGGGCAAAAACTCCGTAGAACGGAAGGATTCTCGGACCTCCGAAGTCGATGAATATGTCGATGCGGAGGAACAATAAGCGTGACGCTACTCTCAACTATCCGATCTTGCTGCATATCAACGCTTCTCTTCCGTCATCCTATTTCGGATGACGTCCCGCCCGACGTCCGGACCTCTAGCCCGTTCGAGAAACGTTGGCTTGAGAGCGATCTCCGGACAGCAAGCAGGTGAAGCCGTGACATGGTAGTCAACCTGCCAAGAAGAAGCGGCTAAACGAAAGTGACATGACCCTCGCCTCATTTTACTGACGCAGCCGACGGGATCGTCCTGACTTCAACACATCATTTCGTTTTCAATTATCTTTTTTGTGCTATTCTTTTTTTCTTTCTTTTTTCATCGAATGCGTCGCCCGTCCTGGATACCCGATTTGATTTTGACAGGTGAGCGAAGCCGATAAAAAGACGCGAGGGAGCGTAAGATTTGATGCGCAAGATACTGGGGACACGGGAGGTTCAGGTGATAATGTTTCATATATGTGGCTATATTGGAATATGGGATTGATAGAAGGATGGGAGGTTAGGCTGGGAGTATCTTAATTCTATAATAAATAGATTTGGTCCTTCTGACCTACTTTTTTTCCCCACCGGCTGAGAACTGATAACCAAAAAAGAATTGAACATACAAGAAAATCTCTTCTGGGATATCATAGATCAAGCAACGAGATTTGAGCCAAACGCCAAAGCACCACCCATGCAAACGAGTAAACCACCCAAGATCAGGTCATAGAATCCAAAACGCCCGGGGAAAAATGAAAACTCAAGACAATCAAGAATACAGCTCTCCCCGATATCCGGCACCCCTCTCCAACTCCCGCCGTCGATTGCTCTTGACCGCCGCACTACCGGGCCCTTCGCGCTCCTCGCGCTCCTCCTCCAGCTGGGCGGTCGTCTCCTCGATCTCCTTCTCTGTGTCCTCGCGCAGACCCAGTATATCCGGGGGGATGAAGCTCATCTGGACACTTGGGGCCCCCTGGATATAGCGGAGCTGCTCACGGACGGCCTCGACGAGGCCGGCGAGGTACGGGCGGGAGTTCTTGTTCTCGAGCTTGCGCATTTCCGACAGGGGCGGGAAGAGCGAGAAGTCCGGGCCGAAGTGGTTGCGGAAGGCGACGGTGTCAGGGATGTTGGGATCGATGAGGTCCTGGGCGTCGATGAGGATGGAGGTTTCGTGGGCCCAGGCGCGGGAGACGTTGCGCGGGGTGTAGCCGCCGCCGCCGACGACGAGGAGGGGCAGGCCGAAGGTCTTGACGAAGGCGACGCAGGCGCCGTGGGCGCCGACGTTGAGGTTGAAGCAGCCGAGGCGGTCGCAGCCGAGGGAGTCAGCGCCGCATTGGAGGACGATGGCGCCGGGGCGGTAGGTGTCTACGCAGGCGCCGACGATGTCGCGGAAGAGCTGGATGTAGGACTCGTCGTCGATGCCGTCGTTGAGGGGGACGTTGACGGCGTGGTGCGCGCCGGGGTTGAGCGGGTGGGTTGGGCCGGTGCTGTCGAGGGGCCCCGTGCCGGGGAAGAAGTTATCCTTGTCGTATTTGTGGAAGGAGACGGTGAGGACGCGGTCGGTGGACCAGAAGGCCTGCTCGACGCCGTCGCCGTGGTGCACGTCGATGTCGATGTACATGACGCGTGGGTGGTGACGGAGCAGCTGCAGGATGCCGAGGACGATGTCGTTGACATAGCAGAAGCCGCTGGCTTCGGCCTTTTTGGCGTGGTGCAGGCCGCCCGACCAGTTCACCGCGATCTCGGACTGGTTGTTGCACAGTTTGCGCGCCGCGTCGATGCTACCGCCGGCGTAGAGCGAGCAGTAGTTGTACAGCCCGTTGAAGATGGGACAGTCGTCGCCGAAATTGAACCGCGCAATGTTTTCGCTTTGCTCTGGATTCTCCATGTCCCCGGGCATCACTTGCCTCAAAAAATCGAGGTAATCCGTCTGGTGGAAGTCAGCCATCTCTTCGTACGTCGCAGCGCGGGCCAGATAGAGGTCCATGGCGTGGTGCATCCCGTAGGCCATGACGAGTTGCTTTGTGAGGGTGAGTCGCCAGGGTTTCATGGGATGCGACTGGCCAAAGTGGTGCGGTTCCACGGCCGGATTGGCGTGCCATGAGACTCGGTAGCCTTGAGGACGAGGGATGCCATTTGTCTGTCGCTCGAGGGAGACTTTCTGATCAACGCTCAGGGTGGGATTCGACGTAGGCGGAGGATTGTATTCTTGGACAATGGCGGAGCGTGCCATGAGGTCGGAACGGTAGCGAAGTATTAGGAAAGGAAAAAGGGAAAGATAAAAAGAAGAGTAGGGATTTGTGTCATAAATAAATCATATGCATCTAAGACATGCTGTGAGAGACCAGATTCAAGATGGAGAGGTGGAGAGGTTGAATGCGAAGGATTGAATCGTCGAAGAATGTGGAGAATGAAGAAGACTAAAAGGTACTACTAGTGGTGGAAAGTTGAGACTTGAAGAGGCAGAAGAACGGGTGGCGGCCACTCTCATCTTATCAACCATCAGCAGATCATATGGATATGCAGCTGCACTAGACTGCTCACGACCTAAAACATGCTTGAAATTATGCATGTCATTTCTGCTTCGAAATATCTAGATAGAATCGTCCGAATTACCTTACTGAAAAGCCCAGGCCATTGAACGAGTCCATGTGGCCTCACAAAATATGATTTCTCAACACAAGTGCAATTCCCGAGAGAATGCCGAGAGCTTATTAATCGACTCCCGAACTCGGATCAGTGGCAAGTCCATGCTTCAGAGCAAATTACAGATAAATAGAGAGGCACAGCGAGAGGGAAGAATTGAGTAATTGTCTCGGAGACATAATTGGTGTCTCGTATTGCGTGTTGGTGATACTCGTGTGTTGGTCCAGTGCGACATCCCTTTGAGCCGACGCCCCTAGATTCTATCTACCACGACGCCTCGCACTCTTCTTTAAGTTGCTAAGCTTTATTGATAGCCTGTTATCAATCGAGCAGCAGTAAGCAACTTGTAAAACCTATAACTGAACCTTATCTTTCACCTACGTCTTCCACCATGCCCATTGTCACAGCAGCAACTGCTCTCCGGCGGTCTCTTGAGGACCCCAAGTCATTCATCGTCGCACCGGGTGTTTACGATGGTCTTTCCGCTCGGATTGCCTTGTCTGTGGGGTTCGATGCACTGTACATGGTGAGTGCTCAGCCTACACAATTGTACTGTGGTGGTCACTGAGCGTTACCATCGCAGACTGGAGCCGGTACTGCAGCCTCCGTCCACGGCCAAGCCGACCTCGGTATCTGCACCTTGAATGACATGCGCGCCAATGCTGAGATGCTCGCCAACATCTCGCCCTCTACCCCCGTCATCGCCGACGCAGATACCGGTTACGGCGGTCCGATTATGGTCGCTCGCACAACAGAGCAATACTCGCGCTCGGGAGTGGCCGCCTTTCACATCGAGGATCAGGTGCAGACCAAGCGCTGCGGACATCTCGCGGGCAAGATACTGGTAGACAAGGAGACGTACGTCAGTCGCATCCGGGCGGCGGTGCAGGCGCGGAAGCGCATGGGCAGCGACATCGTCGTGATTGCGCGGACCGACGCGCTCCAAGGCCACGGCTACGAGGAGAGTGTGGCACGGCTGCGGGCGGCGCGGGATGCGGGTGCAGACGTCGGCTTCCTCGAGGGGATCACGTCCAAGGAGATGGCGCGGCAGGTGGTTCAGGATCTGGCGCCGTGGCCCATGCTGCTGAACATGGTCGAGCATGGGGCGACACCGTCGATTTCGGCGGATGAAGCCAAGGAGATGGGGTTCCGTATCATAATCTTCCCCTTTGCGGCAGTTGGACCTGCTCTGACCGCTATCCGTGAGGGTATGGAGAAGCTCAAGAGGGATGGTTTGCCGGGGTTGAGTAAGGAGTTGACGCCCCAGATGCTGTTCCGCACATGTGGCTTGGACGAGAGTCTCAAGGTAGACGCACAGGCAGGAGGAGCAGCGTTTCAGGGCGGAGTAGACTTGGCAGATAAGGAGTAGACATAGCAATAGTCGATAAATGCCAATAGCGTTGCTGTTAATCACTTGCTGTCATAACCACCGGTGTAGTAGTCCTGTTCGGTAATCGGGAATCTCAGGTCACATGACGTTCCCAACTTGTACTTTTCGATCCAGTTTTTCCGCCATGTTAGCTCCAAACGATCATCAACCTGATGACGAGTCCTCACTTGCAAGGAGACGAGTTCCAAAAGGAAATTACATCTTCTAAGTTTTCCGGAAGGGCCCCGCCTCTGAGAGTTGAAGTTTTATATGAAATAATTTCCTACCTTAATAACATGTGACGTCCATCTTGGAAAATGGCTGCCACAGCCGTGTTCGTGGTAGAGAATTCTCTGGTTCCGCCCGTCAACCATGGCCAGTTTGTCCACGGATACACTGTTTATTTACTAAGTAGCATAGTTCTAAGCGCCCAATCGGCGGCAGGCGTTCGCCAAATGTGGTGCTGGAAAGGCTAGCGCGCACAATCATAAATTCATGATGTGTGTTGAAATGAAAATGAAACTGCTGACATAGACTGCATTGGTTGCTGCAGATATGTCGCTGGCATGCCATCATTACAAGTCAGTGAGATGTCTGTTCTGTACTGCTCGTCCGAGTTTGGATAAGTCAACGACTTGGGTACCTGACTGCCCTGTTGTACTACTACAATGATGGATGTGGCAATTCAACAGTGGACAGTGGACACGCCGGTGGAGATGGATACATCTACATTCCCTGTCGATTTGTCGCATACAATCAATTGCCATTCTAGATTCTAGCGGTGGGTAAAGATGTGGACGAATTTGCTGTTTCTGCGTTGTATCGACCCACATATGAGGGTCTACAGTCCATGAAGTACTCTACTGGATCGAAGAGCAGGCTGGCTAGATGGGTCTTCAGAGTTCAAAATCCAATCTTCATTCCTTTCCTGGATTGATTTAACGAAGTGAAGAAGAAGAGTTTTCACTCGTATAATCATGGAAGGGTATGCCTCTTGAGTGGACATTCTACTACAAGGGACTCTGCCCAAGGCATTTTGGCATTTGCGGAGGATAAGTAGAACTGAATTGCAGTATAGAGCATCTTGGCCTAGATCAGCGGACAGAAGTTTCTCTCCGAGTCAGTCGCTATCCTTCAATCAGCATCCCGCAGTCGCAGTATGATAGCAGTAACAGCGTTGACATTATCTAGTACACCAATTTTGTCAGAACCCGATAGCCTACCAAAACGTGGATCACCTTTTGACGTGGAGAATTGCTTCCGTTTCTACGTGTATGGTCATGAGAGTAGGGCTAGAGTGTACCACGATTTGCTGGAATTGACTGACGTGTACCTCTCTAGATCGACTTTAATTGAACAGGGCAGATCCGTTATCATTATTGTTCCTGCATTGGACCGATAGACCAGCGCATATGGGCTGTCAGTTGCTAGGAACGTGGCCCGCATTCCAACCATCTAATCTTCCACAATGATATCAGATCTCGATGAAGAATGCATCGCTGCCATACCTCAATCGATCTATCACTATTTGACATATTGATCAGTTGAGTGCTGTTTACATCCATCAAATATGATCATCAAATGCACGATGCAGGTACCTGAGTAATGGTGGGACTACACAAGAGACTAGGTACCTTACCAACTAGGTTCATTACAATACCGTACCATAAAAAGGGCCAGCAATCCGCGTCCCTGTGCCAGGGACCCAAGGGTCTCGACTGTTGTCCTATGTGGACACCAACCTACAAACACAGCCAATCATGGCTCCTCCTGAAGCTGAGAGTTGGCAGGCTCAGGAACCGTCCCTCTTAGCCGACCAATCAGCAGCGAGGATGGCTCCTTTTTCCCCTGATCGCCCCTTTTTCATTAAACGACTTGATTTCGGGTGCAGAACGGGAAGTACGTACAGACCCTCCCTCAGTCCCTGCCGCTCTTCTTATTACACCCCCAGTCCCCTCTTCGTCTCGCTCGTTCCTCTCTCTCTCTCTTCTTCCTCCAGCGTCTGTTTTCTCTCCCTTCTTTGGGTACGCAAATCACACTCCTTTCAAGTCTTATTCACTCTCTATCAAGTGAGCATTACCTCGTGTCTTGCTCCTAGTCATTCTTTCATTGTCAGTAAGACGTTGGTACTATTGTTGCGTTCCCTGGGCTAGTTCTCTCCAGCAGCGTGATACCCTTTGCTTCTATCAAGCTCTCATCCCGAACATTTTTGCAACCGAACTTCAATCACACAAGTCCATCCTTCCTTCACAATGCAGCTCAAGAACTCGATGCTCCTCCTCACGGCGCTGACCGCTGGCTCTTCGGTCGCCCGTTTGCACGGCCATGAGCGCCGCCACCTCCACCATGCCGGTGAGAAGCGCGAGGTCGGCGACACTGTCTACGCTACTATGAACGGTGTTCTCGTCTCTTGGATCAACGAGTGGTCCGGTGAGGCTAAGACCACCGACGCTTCCGTCCCTCAGGCTACTCCCGTCAGCAACATTGCTGCCAACGCTGTGGCTGCCGCTGCCGCCGCGTCTACTTCGGAGCCCAGCTCTTCCGAGTCCGACAGCTCTTCATCGTCCGGCGTCTCCGACGACTGGACCAACACCCCTGCCGACGGCGAGTACTGCACCGACGGCTTCGGTGGCAGGACCGAGCCCAGCGGCTCCGGTATCTTCTACAAGGGCAACGTCGGTAAACCCTGGGGCAGCAACATCATCGAGGTTTCCCCCGAGAACGCCAAGAAGTACAAGCACGTCGCTCAGTTTACTGGCAGCGACACTGACCCCATGACCGTCGTCTTCTGGAACAAGATCGGCCCCAAGGGTGGCCTTAACGGCTGGTATGGTAACTCCGCTCTGACCCTCCACCTCAAAGCCGGTGAGACCAAGTACGTGGCCTTCGACGAGAACTCCCAGGGTGGCTGGGGCGCCGCCAAGGGCGACGAGCTGCCCATGGACCAGTATGGTGGATACTCTTGCACCTGGGGTGAGTTCGACTTTGACAGCCAACCCAACCAGGGCTGGTCCGGCTGGGACGTTTCCGCCATTCAGGCCGAGAACGCCGGCCATGAGGTCCAGGGTATGAAGATCTGCAACCACGCCGGCGAGCTCTGCTCCGTCATTACCCACGGTCTTTCCAAGGTCATTGACGCCTACACCGCTGCTCTGGCCGCTGTCGATGGCATCGGTGGCAAGGTCGTCCCTGGCCCTACCCGTCTGGTCGTCAACCTCGACTACAAGGAGTAAATGTCTTTTGCTCGTAGTTTTGTGATGTCCTTTCTCTTTGGCTTGCATTCTGGATACCAATTATATCTCTTGTCTTGGGGGTCTTTTTCCTCGTCCTCTTAGCATGTAACGGTCTCACGACCTTTGTGACATTCCAATCCTTCCGCCAATGTCAGGCGAGACCTCCCAGGAAGCATCCAAAATCCCGCCAGCCTGACGATTTCAGCTTTCTCTGTGTACATACCTTATACCACCGTCGACTTTGTGTTTCATAGTTCATATTGATTCCCTTCCTTCACATCTGGTACAAACCACCTCATTATGTCTGTAGCTATTGTAATCTACTTGGTATATATCCTGCATCCTTTTAATCTGTCGCGTGCTTGCATTTTAAGAGTTACTGACCAGCCTCCCTTCCATTCGACACTAGCCAATTAGGAACGTTGGCCACTGTCCAGCTCTCTGATCAAATGCCGATCTCAGTTTACACCCAGAAATAGTATCTTCACTTCAATGCCCCAAATCAACAAGTATTAGTTGCCTGGGGTCTAGGCGGCTGCGGAGTCGGTTCGCCGACCCGACAAGCTGATACCTGAAACTCGCTAAAGCGCCGGGGTCTAAAAATACTCGCCTACCAAGTCGACAGACTATATCCTATCTTTAGCAATCAGTGGAGTGTACGAAGATGACAATACCTCTGTCCATAAGGTCGCCGAGTAGATGAAAAGACAAGGTAATGGTTTAGCTTGGTCCCGGCGTCACGAGGAGGATTAGCCTTTTCGAAACGATCGAGTAGAATGTAAAGGCTCTATCCAGACTAAAACTAGGTATCTAATAATACATACAGCACGTAGCGGTTACACGGCGATTGATTCAAATTCCCAGGAAGTCGGTGGCAGAGACTGACGTGGGCAGCTCAGGGAGCGCGAATTCCGAACCTCCCTCATCTTCTCGCTCTTGTTCTCCTTCCTCCCATTGCCTCTCTTCGCCCCGAAACTGATTTCGATAAATCCCACATGCACCATGTACCCGATCAGCGCGGCGACGCCGCCCGCTACTGCCGCGATGGAGACAAGCATGTCCTTCTTCTGCCCGGTGGCGTACTCGGACAAGGCGCGGCTCTCTATCCCCGACAACCCCGAATCGGGCGACTGCGCCGCCTGTCGTAAGCGCTCGCTGGAGCGGATGTCTTTAAGGATCGGGGTTGCGTCGGCGAGGGTGTTGAGGAGCGTGCTGCAGACGGTAGCGAGATTGGCGCGCTGCACAGGCTGCCAGGGCAGCGGCGAGGCATCTGTGATAGATCTCCGTGTCTCATCGAAGGCATGCGCGACCTCGCCGTCGACAGTCCCGTAACAGCGCTGGCGCAGGCGCTCGGTGTATGTCGAAAGTCGCGGAGCTTTGGTTTGCATTGCGTTGCGGAGGAACGAGTACGGTAAGTCCGGGACAAGGACGAGGGCGAGGTAGCCGAGCGCGAGACAGTCGACGCTTGTTGCGTCGCCGTCGGAGACAAGGTAGCTCTTCTGGCCTAGAATCTCCTCAAGGGGCTCGAACAGCTCCGCCGTGAGGGCTTCCAGCTTGAACTGGTTTTGCTGGGGGTCTTTCCCAGGAGACTTGAGACTGTGTCCCGTGGCCGTTGGACGAGGTTCTTGGGTATCTGGCCTGCAGCGACAGCGGCCGAGTGTTCGCGTTTCCGTTGGTCTTCCGCCGCCTGGAGGTCTAGCGATGAAAGGCCGAGGTGTTCTGTTCGGCTCTTTGCGGCCGAGCGCAGCCTCGGAGGGACGATCCATTGGTTCGGCCACTGCAGAATGGCGCCGTAGGCGGGAGAGGTCCGGTTGTAGTAGTTTTCGCTGGAGACATAGAGAGACAGGTCGAGAAGGGGCTGGCCGCGGGATTCTACAAAGGACGAAAACCTGCAGGCTGTTAGTTTTTGAAACGGCATCGTGCCTGAGGAAGCGTCTGAGAAGGCTTACGCAATATTGTCCGCCCGGTCAAAGCCGCTCAGGTCCCTGTCCAGATCCCATGCACCGTTCGAGTATTGGCGCAGGTAGTCGACAATATTCCGAAACCGGCTCACCCATGTAGTTCCATTCTTCACAGCGGGTAGTTCATCTGCGGACGAGTCAGCATACGCGATCCGGAATCGACGCAATACTGCCATCGGGTCAACTTACTAGTCGGAGACACGGAAGGATCGCTGCTCGCAATCAGCACCCACGCGTCCTTGGGCACTGCGAGGGAAAAATAAGCAATAGCCGCAAGACATTGCGCCTCAATCGAGGGCAATGAAAAGGCCGGACCCCAGACATGAAGTTCCAGAACCATCGTGCGTGTCGGGGAAGCAGGCGCCTATGAAACACGAGTGACGGCGAGTTGGAGATGGGTAAAATCACGTGCGGGGGGAGATATATTGATGCCTTAGGCATCAGATCAACATATCACAGGCTCGGTACATCGTTCCGTCTTGGTTTGGGAATGGCCTTGATGCAACCAGGTTTGAAGCCAGCAGAAGCCGTAAATCCCGTATTCCATGTGAGGTAATGTCTCAACTACATGCATTTTTCCATTCTATCTAACCCCGCTATTAGTGTGCTGTCTCACGTATACGATGTTAACTGATCGATAATGTGAGCACTTTCTATCTGACACGATGACACGACGCCCGGTGTCCGCTGAGCCTCATTAGCAGTTTCAGGCTAAACGGCGAAAGCAAGATAAGATGGTGCATTGATGATTCGTCGGGAATATCGCGACATAGACGCAAAATTCAGCATGTCCACCTATTATCATCAAGGCAAAGCCGTTAAACGGACTTGTTCCGTGCCGGATAGGTAGATAATGAAACGGCTTTTGCGCATGTGCCTGATCGTTTGGGCGAGAGTGACATGGCTATGGAGAACGGCGTCCAAGCTATCTACGTAATTCAAAACCGGCGAGTACAGCGGTAATGGATAACTACCGAATATTTGATTATTCTACCATCAGCAACCATCGATGAAACAGTTGATATAAGCATCTCCGCAGTGTCAGTTGTGTCAGTTGACCAACCACTGGCAAAGTTCAGCCCAACCAGGTACCATGTCCCACCTCCCAAATCAAGGCAAGACAGGACGAAAACAAGGCACGGGCTATCACCTGCTTCGGAGATTCGACGGGAGCTGTTTCCGAACCACGCTGACCCAACGCTGACCACTAAGGGTAGATACCTCAGGGACCTAAGTCGGCTCCGTCTCAGCTGGTACGGGAAGACATGCCCCAATAAGGATTAATTGACGTTAGTGATTCATCAATGCGTCAGTCTGTCATGACTACGGGATAATATGTCGCACATATGCAGCTAACTTGGAGTAGGCTGAGTTGCAGGAAGTCTAGGAACACTTGGAGAGTTGAAGATTGGCGGGGTGGGGACACGGTGCCTGTCGAGTTGTGTACTTGGCACCGCCACGGCCCAGGGAATAGCTGTGAGGCTTTGGAGGCTGTAGGTAATCTGTGCGCACGATGGGCCAGCCAGGCTCGTAATCGAGACGATTCTGATCTCGCGTTGGGGCCATTCCATAGTTAGTATTGCGCCACTATGGCACTGTGTCAAATAGGAGGTCCTCAACCTTATATATGGTTCAGTGCACCTTGGAAAGAACCCCCTCCCCCCGGGCAAGTCCGTGAGGTATATCCGGGCAATGGTGGTAAGAATAGCGGGCGCTCAAGGTTGACATGAGATGATGGAGGGGTGAAATTATTACCCCTGCGCGATTGGTTACCTGGAGGAGTCGAGTCATCAATCAGCCGTTGCCTTGCCTTGTGATTCAATAAAATGCATAGGAGCGGTATGTATTGACAGGGATCAGGAACACTATTGAAGTCAGCCATCCAGGTTCAACATCTCTTGGTGCAAGTGTACCTCTTTGTCTGGGCCAATCAACCACTAATCGTCTTAGTGAAACTTACAATTGCACAACGCGGAGTCGATGTTGTCATTATGAGACATACATAGCAAGCAAGTTTTACGAGGTAGCACAGTCATAAGATAATCTGGTAGAAACGAAGTCACTTGACGAGTTTGTGTCATTATTAACTGTGTCCAAACGCTGGTAACAATGCGATGTGGGTATATTAGGTCTATAGTACATGCCATTGGGCTCAAAGAAACAGAAGGAAAAAAAAAAAGTCAGGCTCCCACGTGTAGGGCGAAGCATCTGAATAGAATCAAGGAGAGAACGAAGAATGAAACAAAGTCTCCCAGAATTAAAACGTAAGTTCAAGTTGAAGAGATTCACTCGAACATGGGTAGCCTGGACTGCAAAGACGCTTTGACGCCCGGGCGATCAGGAGATCCAAGCCTCCCTGCTTCAGCATGGATTTGGCGGAAATCCCGGAGCTTAGGTGCAGGGTTCAGGGACACCTTTACATTGAAACAATTTCAAGTTCTTGACCATGTCGCCAGCTTGCTTTGTGGAGTTTGGTCTTGCCGAAAATGCCGCTGGGAATTCGAAGTGGGGTCAATCACTTCAACACCATGTTGATATCATCTCCATGTAATATGCCGGGCGGTCTGCGCTGATCGATCAGCTACCCGCGCAATCCGATGAAATTCGGATTGATTCGAATGTCGCAATTGAGATCGAATAAATGTGGTAGAATAGGAGACAATGCGCCTGCGCATGTCTCCAGAAAGAAATGGCGTAGAAGAAATAAACTCAAATTTCTGCAACTGTGGTTGTTGCAGAACCGAGGCCGAGGATGTCGGAGGTTCTCCGTGTATTAGAATTGTTGGATATTGGTCCAAAGTATGAGTAGGGTTGGTCGAATAAGAAGCATATCGTCCAAAGAAGTGTATTAGAGCCAAAACCGAGTTGAAGTCGTGATATCCATGCCAGAGGTTGCAACCTCCCAGCTCGTGAGCGTCTCGAGTCGGTGTGTTGTAGTAATCGTTCCCCCGACGGGAATTGAAGGCCGTGGGGGAGCCGCTCGAAGGCGCAAGGTCATCAAATTCGTTAAAGGGCCTCAAATATCTTTTATTTGGGAAGAGGAGGCAGAGGACCCTTTGGCGGAGGGCCAGGGCAGGGAGGGAATTGAGAAGCGGTACCACCGATGGAAGGCATGTTGATGAGTTGGTTACGGATGTTGATTGGGCTTGGATATTGATCGATCAGCGTGAAACGGAGGTTCGACAGTGAGGTGTCTCTGGTATAAGATAGGAAGACCACAGGAGAATTTGGGCTTTGAAGTTTGGAGATGGAAAGAAGGTAAATTCCAAAGACGAGGTCAGGCACTGCTTAATATAGGGCTCGCAATCAGTGATCCTCGCTTTTTTTTATTTTATTTTAGTTTAATTCGGGAGGGCATCAACAAGAAAAAGCTACCATAAATCCATTAGAACCAAGCTGAGAGAAAAATAAAAAGAAAAAATAATAATAAAAAATTAAAGGATGAAATAAAATAATCGATAAAGGATATCCCTGCCATGAAGAGGAACTGAGCCCCACATGGAACGGTGAGATACTGACGTAGGTACGGAATAGTTCGTTTTCTGACGGTGGTTACACTCGAGGGACTCGTCGTCCAGCTGTGCCATTATTCTGCCATCTGGTAATGACCTTAGTGTGGGTCAATTGCCCCAATCGGAAATTCAAAGGAAATTTTCTAGAAGCTCCTCCCGTCCGGGCCCACTGCTTCATCCTCTGGGGATTTGCTTCACCGCCAATTTTTACCCCTTTCCAGTCCAAGTCCCACTACACTGTGCGACTGATCCATCCAAAGGTAATAATATTATTAACTAAAAAGGGTAGAAGATTGGTTATTTGAGGAGTGGGAGACAACAGTGGCAAATTGGAGGATCCATGCTCCAGTGTTCGTCTCTTTGTATGTTACTCGGGCTTATTTTTCTTTTTCCTGTTCCTGAACTCCTTTGTCTACCTATTTCCGAAATTCCGGGCCATGGCTCGGCGTATCTGGACTTACAGAACACCATGGAAATTCAGCTCTGCATCATTTTTCGACATCATTACCCATTATTACGTAAGTACAGGCAAGGAACATACGGGAAGTCGGGGAAGGCTGGACAGTACGCAATAGAATCAACATGGAATGGGATGAGCATTCGTCAGCAGAATGACTCAATTCATACGAAGTACAGGAGTAAAGCATCGGTGCTATCAATAGTCCAATGTTCATGCATTCATCAATATGCAACTTGTATCAACAGGTCTTCCGGGCACATTGCAGCAAATCACAATAGGCTCACGGACCTGGAGGAGGCAGACACGTGGAAGGTTGTAGATCCTTTTATGGAGGGAATAGAATCCTGATAGTAGTTCAATCCAATCATCCAAACGCCTTCCAAGACCATTCCTCGCAAGGCTGGCCCTCAGAATAGTAAAGCCTGGCGGTAGTGTCTCCAGGCAGCCAAGTTGATTTGTCTATCGGACCATCAGAAAGACGGAATCTGACGATCAAATCTATCTGTCATCATGGAGTCATAGAGTCATAGACTCATAGACTCATAGCCGGACCCGGGAACACACCCCCAACCCCCCAAAAATTCCGAAACCCCAGGATTCGAGATGAACTGAGCCACCACCAAACCATCCATTTCAGGCCATCAACATTTCCGGTTTGTCTTAACTTGACCATGTCTGGCATGATCGTTGAGAAGATCAGTGTCATCTCTAATCCCTTGCAGGAATGATCAGGGGTACTACCCGTTCTATTGAAGTAAATCTGGAGATTCGACAGGTCAACTGTCTCAAACTTTAGCATCCAGGGGAGATAGATGTTCTCCGTACCCCGTAAAGATACGTTACATTATTACGAAATACGATGGCGACCGTCATGTTACACATCCGCTGTATGCATGAGACAAGTTGTTTCAGCTTTCAGGGGCCGAAGCACACCATCGACCAACGAGATCTGATTCCCCTTGCAGATGATCAATTTGAGCTCAAGAATCCATCTCGACGGGTGATACTCCTTTGACATGTTTCGCATACTCCAGGCTTATTAAGTGTTATATCAAGCTGCTAATAATCAATCTATTAATGATTACCCTTCAGTAGGCCATGAATCATGATCCGCTGGTGATATTTATATTGGGTCCTGATTTCCGTAGCTGTGGCTGATGTCCCGAGGCCGACGGCTCCGACAGTGACCGAGGAAATATGTTTCTCTTCGCTTCCGCATCACTTGAATACTAATCAATGAAAGAGAGCGCATCAGCTGCCACTTCCTTGAGTCTATGCGATTCCATCCTCAGACTCAACAAGCTGTTCCCTGCTGCGAGAGGCCAAGAGCGTCCAATGAGTGCTGGATTCGATATTAAATCCTGCAGTCTGTACAGGTGTACGCCCCTCGAACTATATTTGTGGCACCGCAATGCAACATTACAAGGTCGTCGAGATACCTAATCTGTGTAGTCGCAAGACATCTTCAAGGGTAAAGCCAAGGCACTTTTAATTAATGCTACTATCATCCCTGTTAGTGCCTTCTCTGCAAGACGGGCAGGAGGATCTTCTGCAGCTTGTAGTTAGCTAGCAAGATGCCCGAGAGATTAGACCATCCTGCAAGTCACTACTATTGCGCCTCTGCATCAGCTCGCTTAGGCAATTCGTTCATTTGTCTCCGTAAGAAGTAGATATTGAGATTGTGCGAATGTCCATACGCTTCTGATGGACGACCAATGGATCTATGTAATCAATCCATCGATATTTGCGCAGTTGATTCTATATGAAACAATCATACCTGGTTTGATGGTTCTACCGCATGCATCTCCCATTTCATCAAGTTGCCACTCTACATTATGCATGAATAGCCTGTTAGTCAGGAACGGAGGGTAACTAACTAGTATTGTCTAATAATCATTTCCCCTTTTCGGAAGTTCGTCTCACTCCGAAATACCTCGCTTGCTCGGCCATTAATAATGATTCCTATAGCTTGTAATCTCTATTGAAGTAACTATCTACGGAAAATTCGAGCTCAATCTGTTCAGAGTCATGCTTAATCGCATCAAATCGGAGTCCGCTTTCGGATCCTGCGCTGTGGCTGAGTCTCAGCGTGATAGTCTCCAGTGGATCCTTAAAATCCTTAGACTACTCTGTAACACACCAATATTACTCCGTAAATAGAGAGGAAGAAAATAGGAAAGGTAAATCCGAACACCTCGATCGACTCCCAAGTTCTATGAACCAGAAAGTTTGGAACAAGGGAAAGAATCAGGGACCGAGCACATGGCAGATTACAAACTTCCATCTTCAAGATTGAACTTAAGACCTCCACTGTTGGGGGGTTCATTCCACGCCGTTGGGAGTTGGATTGACACTTAGCATTTTAGTCTGCTTGTGATAGGCCGGAGTCATTAAATGGTCTCAGCCGGGGAAATTAGCTGCGAAGACGCACAATTTCATACGGATTCCACTATCATCGTTATGCAGGTCTTCCTTAAATATCTCGGCTACGTTGGCCAAAACCGCAGGGCTATCAGATAACTACGGCTTCGCGTTTCTATTAGCAATTGCATGGATAATGCAAATGGACTTGGATTCCTTGCCAGTAAACACAGTATCTTTGGTTTATGTAGTCTCTATCGAAGAATTACGCCATTCCCGCGCACTCAGGGTGTCATAATTCCTGTTTGAAAATTATTGATTCCATGTACCCAGTAGAAGATACCCAGAGTAGTCGTCGGTACCAAGCAAAATTCATCATGATTACCCGCCGATATTCATGTGTTTCACTTCCATCGATTCTCCAGACCCTCAGTGTCGGAGTCTCCTGTCTCCTTTACCCTGGAATGTTTCTAGAAACCAGCGAATCCATGGTCCACTGCTCGATAGTGATTCCATATTCAAAACGATCTGCTAAGTCCGTCGCTTCTGTAGTCCCCTTCAGTCCCATATTCCGAATGCGGTTGTGAAATGGAGACAAAGCATTGCTATCTGACTGGAGTGACTGCTGTGCTAAAACTACTAAAGGTTCGTCAAGTGGGCTCATGAGACTAGTAGCTTCCTTCGTCGCGTTGGTCACGAGACTACTTAAACTCTGCAGTAGCGATCCACCCTACACTTCCCGTCAGGATGGGCGGATGGGAAAAATTCTTTGGGTATGGATTATCGAGATGGTCTGTCTAAAAGCCAAAATCGGAGACACGATCAGCAAGCCGTTCTGACGTCAAACCATGTTGATCATGGGTTGTTCATCCATGTAGCTGGAGTAATGATCTGTGACCAGGATTGTGATCGGCTATAGACTTTACGCATGAGACGATCGATGTCCGCCAATCGAAGTTGGAACGATGAAACTTCAAGTCCCACAGGTATCTTGTCGACGGGGAATGAGACACGTACGGTGTCCGCTGTTACCTCCCCGTGAACTGGTGAGCGGCAATAACTGGTAAGCCAGAAAAGCCGGGAGACAAGGCCTGGAGATCTAACGCATGAACTTAAATCGGAGATAGCCCGACGGAATGTCTTGTTTCGTAATGGCTGCGACTCATTCAGGGAACAACTGTTCCCGTTTTTGATATCAAGAGCCCTAGAGCTCCAGTTTCTGCCTTTCTCCATAGTTGTAGACATGGACGACTTGGTAACATTGATGTGAAGATTAAGAATTACCTTGTAGCATCATGATGCTTGGCCAGATTGTCGTCAGAACATCCGTTCAAGAGGGAGATGCTGATTGAACAAGCGGAATCTAAACTCTAAATCGATGCGCCACGCATGTACCAGGGGCGAACTGGCGATGGCTGCGGATGGCAACCCAAGGCAAGCCAACAAGCTTATTTCCGGTTTTGTGGCTTGACTAGAACGAGCACAACAATAACAGGAGGTAGTAGTATGTTTCAAGGTGGCTACAAACCTCTTTTTCGAGACTCAACCAAACAATCGTCGTATTGGCATCATGCATATGGCAATCCCAAATCCTGCTGCGCAAGGCGTTCATGCTGTGCTACCAACTAAAACACATGCACATGAAGCTCAATGCCTCCGAAGCGCAAGCCTCTCAACAGAGGCAAAATTGAGTAATTGCTGCTCCGAGACGCATGCTGGTTGGTTGACAAGAGATGCAGGGTTGCTGTTCCGTCATGCGACAGCAGGCCAGGGGATGCAACTCTCCGCACACTCTAGTCGATACTGCACGACAACATGGTTGCAATCTAAGTGACCTTTTGGCTCCTGCCGCAAGTGATCCATGCTCTATGCTTGAATACTTCAGTTGCGGGCATTGGTCTCGAGGTAACGGCCTATGTCCATCGTCGTAAGACACTTCTGGTGGCACGATTCATGCAGGTTTCAGTATGTAGCAGATGACGTTGTTGCTTCCGATCTCCGTATTGACAGTAAAGGGAGCTGACAGAAAGGGGCAACCCTCGCTACCTTGCATGTCACTCACGGCCACATTTTCACGAAACATGTCTCGCTGCCAACGAAACCACTGACAATATCGGACAAGCTTCAATCTTCGTCCAAGTTCCCCTGAGCCTGAGTGGAAATCCACTCTTCCATTAGCGCCTGACGTGAAGTATCAGAAGCGGCTGGCCGAGCTCTCGCCTTATCGCCCTTTCGCGTCACCAGCAGACATAGGACCCAACCGTAGATATTGAACCCTTCGTACTGAGTCCGAAAGCCTAACTTCTTGTCATCGCCGTCAGCACTAAGCTCATCCAGAGGCGAATCAGTTTCTTTCTGGCGCTTTGATGTGCGTTCTCCATCTGGGCTCTGCACGTCCGTCCCTCGGCGGCGCTTGCCATTGGCGTCGCTTGTGTTCGCTTGCGGAATATCGCGCAGATCGGTGTCAGCTTCACTGTCGCTCTCAACCAAGATCTTGTCGCCGCCCCCTTCGGACCGAATCACAGGAATATCTGTCGTGTCTCCGGCGCCCTCGAATGTCTTGTGTCGAGTTAAAAGTGAGTGGCGTGTGCGAGATTCGCGAAGGAATAAGGCGACCTCGAACTCATCTGTATCAGAGTCAATAATCACCCGATATCCACTATTCCCGAAATAGGCAGCCCATAGTACCTTCAGCTATCACATCTTTGACCGGCTTCCCTTTCTTCCTAGCAAATAACCTTTCATTTTCCTCTCGTAACTTTGGTAGCACCAACGGACGAATGGCGGCGAATATCCGGGGAGTACAGGGTCTCGACTATCAAGAAGCCACCGAGAATCGGACGGATTCTCGAGATAGATTCGACATTCAAGGACAGAGTATTTGCTGATTCGAAGGTAACGCCGAACAGGTGCCATGCTGATGTGGAAGGATTGACGTCACAGTTAATTGACCAGTTGCATCCGTCCCCACTGAACTTCGTCGTTACAAAAGATCCTCTAAGAGCAACGGAGGTGGATGCAATCACAAAGCTGGTGTATCATACGATAAAGAGGGTTGTCAGGTGAAGTGGCCGTCGCAAGCCAACAGTCATGCTGCGGAGTTGAATGAGCACGTGACATCGGTAATGGAATGGGCAGGCAAGACTACATAAGCCTCGTAGCTCCAATCATGATTCTCACGCTTCCAAACATCATTTTATTCATCTCTTCGACATGGTGTTTTGGGAGCTTCCGAATTCACATCTTCTAGATCTATAGAGATATATGGTTCATCAGCCCTATTACGTGCCATTATTCCTTGGGCAAGCCTTGTGACTTCCATATATCCATACTGACATCGGCTGGTTAAGAGTCCAGAGCTGTCCGAGAGTCTGTTCTTTGCAGGATTGTCCTCCGTGTAGCCACTAGTCTAGGCCGTTTTCTCTGTATTTAACCGATGGTTTGACAGACGCTGATTATCGGGACGTCGGATGTACTATGAAGTTCATACTGATGTGTGATATACCACCACCGCAGTCACTACAACAAATTCAGCTTCATATTCTCCTGACGACCCCTGCTGAATAGTATCACGTCCACGAAAATCTCCCTCTCCTCGCTTCTCTGAGAGCAAGACCTTGCACGGAGAACATTGTAAGCTTACAAAGGATGGCGGATATCGATTCCACCTTTTTCTTTGACCGCGCACTGCCTACTATATATGTTGTACTCATGCCGCACCTCTTTCCTACAACTCTTCCTTAAAATGGATCACAACAACTTCTCCAATGATTCTACTCTTAGATAGTATACATATACAGAGTACCCCGTAGATGGCCTCGAGATCGTTTGATTTCCTATTTTATCTGGCGAGGACCTCGAGCTGCCCTTCCATATCCCATGTGGGAGGTAGTCTAATTGGCCCAAGATGGACTTCGTGCGATTATAAGGTTGTTCACGTGACATATTCTCCGCGGCGCGGCCCGCTGCCAATCAGAAGCAGTGGAATTGGGGGTAGCGTGCTCCCAAGGTCCTCACAGGTGGGACGAAAACTCTTCGTCGTTGACGTTTGTTCGCTGGTTACTAGAGAGGTTTGCGGAACCGCTGTCTCCCAAGGTCCCCATCAAGAGACCACTCCCACCAACGAAAATAGATGATTCAGAGTGATGTGGGAGAGAGGTGGAAGATACTGTCACCATGGACCTCTTTCCAACCATCAATTCTCACCGTCTGTACTCTGTACACTTCCTCGACGAACCTATCCCCATCTCACAGGGTTCTCGTCTGTCTTCGTGGTAAATTTAGTAATCGCGAACGAGAGTCCATCATCGGATACCTCATCTCCCATACAAACGATTCATTGGGAATCGCGGAATCCCTAGTTGGCTGCTGAGTCTCTCGCCGTGTCACCAAGGTCCTCAATTGCGGATTCGAAATCCCTGGTGCTGTCCTGACTGTCAGCGAATACACGACGGTCAAGCCTCTGACCTCGCTCTTATCACAGGCCAAGCAGCCTTAGCACTCAGTCTAAGTGAATCCAGTAGGGACCTTGAGGATTGTCATCAGAATTTTCCGAGCGTGTCGTCGGCTTGACCAAAGGCTGTGCCAATATAAGAGTCCCGGCCAAGCCTTCAAGGAAGGACAAGATCACTTGTTCTCTACTCATCCGAGCTTGTTTCCACGTGTGTCTGCTTCGTGGAATATTTTGTCCGACGTCTGCCTTGATTTGATTTGGCTTTCGCCTGTGTCGATCATCCCTTGAGTGATCTGATCTGTGCACTTTCATCTTCTAACCCCCTCATTCATAGCTCGGAAGTGGTCCGTGCTGTTTGAAGTCGCGGATCGGGCTGCGATACCTATCTATACTGCCAGTGGCTCTGTCGACTCGCCTTCTAGGTCACACGGAAAACCACCATGCAAGGCCTTCACACTCTTCTGGTGCGCGACCCGGAGACGGGCGCCACGCCTTCTTGTGATACCGGGAACGAGTACGACGGGCGCATGGGCTTACGTATATCCTCCATCTTCGTGATTATGGTGGGCTCGATGTTTGGTGCTGTGTTTCCGGTCTTCGCACGGAGCTTTGGCACCTCGACGTTTCTCAGACGGGCATTTTTCGTTGCAAAGTACTTTGGCTCGGGTGTCATTATTGCTACCGCCTTCATCCATCTTTTGGCACCAGCAGAAGAGGCGTTGACTAATGAGTGTCTCACTGGTCCGATTACCGAATACTCATGGGTCGAAGGTATCGTCCTCATGACCATTGTTGTGCTGTTCTTCGTTGAGTTGATGGTAATGCGGTACGCACGCTTTGGTCATAGCCACTTGGATGATTTGGGACACAACGATCATGTTGATGCTGCGTCCGCGACCGTCGAATCCAAAAGCCACCTACCTGGAGAGGATCATCTTGGTCACTCCCGCGAACATCACGACAGCGAGTTGGGTGAAAAGGCCTCCTCAATCGAGGACTATGCCGCTCAGTTGACATCGGTTTTCATTCTGGAGTTCGGTATCATCTTCCATTCGATCTTCATCGGCCTGACCTTGGCGGTAGCCGGAGAAGAATTTATCACGCTCTACATTGTCTTGGTCTTCCACCAAACCTTCGAAGGTCTGGGTCTGGGTTCCCGCTTGGCAACGACCCCTTGGCCCAGTTCAAAACGCTTTACCCCTACCTACTCGGACTCGCATATGGTCTCTCTACGCCTATTGCCATTGCTATCGGACTGGGGGTGCGTAACAGCTACCCCCCGAAGGTTACACCACTCTCGTTGTCAACGGAGTTTTCGACTCCATTTCCGCCGGTATCCTCATCTACACGGCTCTTGTGGAGCTCATGGCGCATGAGTTCATGTTCAGTCCGTCGATGCGCAAGGCACCGATCCGAACTGTTCTTGCGGCGTTTGGTCTACTATGTCTGGGTGCGTTGCTGATGGCGTTGCTTGGAAAATGGGCTTAATCTCGCTCTGGCTAATGACTGTCAACAATATTGGCTTTGTGTGTATTATGGCTTTTTATGCATGTACATAGATCATATCCAAATAATCTTATTCGCTCCTCCAAGTCCGCCTACTCGGCCTGATTCTTGTAAGAAAATAGCGGTTTTTAATTTCCACTTGTTATAGAAATTCGGTCAACATGTCGCATGTAGAGGAAACAACAAAATCACAATTTAAACATGCTTGATGGTGATACGTTAGGTCGTCGACCGAGCGCCGCATACTAAGCAAACTGCGGCAGATCACCATCTAACCACGTTGCCTCGACTGGAGCACATCGCTCCCAACAACAGCCGACCCAACCACAGCACGGCTCCAATTCATCTACACCCCGGTATCTTCTTCAGTAAATTCCCATTCCCCCATTCGCATCATCTATAATAGTCAAAATGCGCATTCCACTTCTCTCCGCCCTCCTCCTCTCCCTCACCACCCTCGCCCTCTCCGCCGACCTCGGCATCAAGAAGACCCACGAGGTCGAATGCAACCGCAAGACCACAAAGGGCGATACAGTCCACATGCACTACCGGGGCACCCTCGCGGCGGATGGCTCCGAGTTCGACTCGAGCTATGGTCGCAACCAGCCGTTGAAGTTCAAGCTTGGTGCGGGGCGGGTCATTAAGGGGTGAGTTTTCTTACGTCTCGTTTTCGGGGACTTTGTTTCAGGGCGGCAGTGGCTGACTCATGCGGTTTATTCTATTCTCTAGATGGGATGAAGGGCTTTTGGATATGTGTGTGGGAGAGAAGCGGACGCTGACGATCCCGCCTGAGTATGGGTATGGCGAGCGCGGGATTGGGCCCATTCCTGGCGGCGCGACGTTGATTTTTGAGACGGAGTTGGTGAAGATTGAAGGGGTTGACAATGATGAGCTGTAGATTGTTGGGTGAAAGGCTTAAAGAGATGGCAGTGTTTCCACAGGCTTGCGGGAATGCTGCAGGTTGCCATATAGGTTGATGGCCCCGATGCGGACTTCTCTATGGGTATCTATCTAGTTGTGCAAATAAAAAACATGATATACATCCAGGCCCCAAGTCTATACAAAGTATCTTACTCCGCCAAATGCGCATTATAAGATCAGTCCATCGCATCCAGACTGCTCTCGTTGGCTTTCGCTTCGTTCTCCGATACCAGAACGCCCACTAGGCACTCCCCCAGGATGGCATCCCAGTTCACCCACGGATGGATCTCCATGAACAGTTTCCCTGAGTCTTTGCCTGCACCCCGAAGCAGCTCTCCCTTGCCCCCGGGATGAAAAGGGAGGTATGGAGTGATGTTGTAGACCTTGCCCTGGTAGGAAGTCCATGCATCGCTGCCCTTGCGCCCATTTTGCGCCTTCAGCATTGACGGTGACACTCGGATGAGAGTTGGGGGTAGGTTTGCACCCCGCAGATTATTGTTCGGCTTCGCTGTGAGCGCGGCCCAATCGAGCGGCGAGTATCCTGGTTCCAAAATCGCCTTCTTCGCTGTAGTCGACGGTTTCAGCGTGACTTGTGTAGGCGCAAGCGAGTTGTTGCTTGCGGCGCGGCTGCCCGGTGGCACGCGCAGAGATGCAGCAGCAGATGGTGGCGGACGAAGTGCGCTGCCCCACTGGGACGTGGGAGGTATCGTCCGGGACTTAGCGATGAGGTTGGCTGAGGCTGCTGGTTCTGCAGCGTCGACGGTCGTAGACGTGGAGGGGGAGGGGAGGCATCAAGGAGGAGGTGCTGGATCCGGTCTGGCGCGGAGGCACCACGGGAATCGGTTTTATTTCGCTTGAAGTAATAGATCCAAAATCCAGTGGCGATTTGGCAGAGCCATCGCGTGTTTGCTGCTCATTGTTTCGCTTACTCGGACTCGCTGCCTCCTCAGTCTGGTCGCTGGCAAGGTGGAGTGTCGGGACATCGAGAGCCGGTGCCTTCGTCGCTGACGCTTTTGGTGTCGTTTGGGAATCCTCCGCATCTTCATTCTCGTTCTTCGGTGTCTGCAATTCATTCCTCCGTAAATTATTATTTTTCGAAGGAAGGTTGGTTGTCTCGGCTCCATCGGATGTTGATCCCGGCGGCTGAGGCGAAGGGGCAGAAGGAAGCTCTTGAGACCATGATGCAGGAGGGTATCGATAGAACAAATAGCATGCAGTCGCAAGAAGCGTCACTACTCCGACCCAGCCCATACCGGAGCACCGAGGTCTAGAATAGTCTGTAGAAATCGATGAGCGACGGTGCCTGAGGAGCGGAGGGAACGAAGGCAAAAAATGACGACAGAAACAAAGTAGTGGCTCGTGCTTACAACCCATAGTGGAATTATGGTGTACAGTACTCCGTACCTACCTTCACTCATTTCGAAAAGATATACAATTCCCCTTACTTGCTCCCCTAAAGACGGTCTTCATAGCTGATTACTGATTATTACACGATTTTCTGTCTCATCATGCTCATCCACAGAGGACAATTTCCAATTCCTCATGGGAAGTCCATGAGTGTACCAGAACCTGTCGAGCAGGCTATCGTGCTACGCTCAATCCACGGATGAGGACCTACGGTGGCCATGCATGGATGAGCACGATATGACGGCTAAGCAAACAGCTGTAATTGATCCCAAGGCGTCATGGTGTCGAGGCGCCACCACCTGGTTGGCCATATTCGAACCATTGGCAGCGTAGACTCTCCTAGATGATAACCACGAGCATCTTTCCGAGGTGATACATTGAGCGGTTATTGTCTATTCCAAAAGTAACTTCAGATACCAAATGTTTCGCAATACCATCTTGTCTACCTCAGATGCGCTTCTGTTGTTCGATGCAGGAGCAGGCCAAGTGAGAAACCCTTTCTGATCTTGAAACCAATCAGCAGCACAGCTGTTATTCTTCGACTAATCCAACTCCAGGTCCAAGGGCGTCGACCTTTCCAGGAGGATCGTTGCACATTCGTTTTGCCAGATCAGTTTCCTTCCCAGACGAACGATAAGCTCACCTATTTCGCGGTCTACGACGGGCAGTAAGAGCTTTGTCGAGTTATTTACTGAGAGGATGTAGGCTGACCTTAATAACTAGTGGCTCCGAGCTGGTCTCGGATCATGCCAGCCGGGACCTGCACTTGTTACTCGCCAAGCGTCCCGAGTTCGACCAAGGCGACTATGAAGCAGCCATAAGAGGGGCATTGATCGATGAAGATGCTGTTTTGCTGGACACCTTCAACAATCTAACCACCGAGCCTGCCGTTTCCGGTTCCACTGTCGCGCTGTGCTTCGTCAATCTCACCAAGGGCGACCTTGTTGTAGCCAATCTCGGAGACTCACATGTCATACTGGCCGAGCGCGATAACCGAACCGACCACCCATCCCAAATCGTAAGTGAGGAGGGTTTGCTGATTCCCAAGGGCTTTTGGCTGATTGATGCCTTAGCGACGGCTTTCAAAGTCTCATAAACCGGATACGCCCGATGAGAAGGCTCGAATTGAAGATGCTGGCGGCGCTGTCAACACGAGAAGAGGGACGGCTCGCCTAGGTGCGTATTGTTATGCAAAAAGCTCAAAGCTACATCAAGTTCCTGACATTTGCCATCTCGATTCCTCCAGGCAGCCTGAACATGTCACGAGCGCTGGGGGATCTTCAGTATAAGAACCCAATTAACAATGCTGGTGACGAATATTCATCCTCAAAGACCCGACGGGCGTCTGCTACTACTTCAGCACCAGAGACCCGAGGTAATTTTCTGTCTGTGGAACCTCACATGACCCGGATGACGCTTTCGCCAGATCGACGTTATCTCGTGGTGGTCACGTCCGACGGCGTTAGTGATAACATTGACGATGCAACATTGATCCATCATGTGATGAGATTATCCATGCGCGGGATGAGAGCTGGCGACATAGCTCAAGAAATTGCGACTACTGCTGCAGCTCAAACGGCAAAGGGGGGAAGCGATAACGCGTCCTGTATCGTGGCTCTATTGGACGGTCAAAACACCTAGAGCCAAGGCAGAGCAGGCCTCTGAAAACTATCAGAAGAAAGCAGTAACAGGACCCTGTAATATCTGTCATGGAAGTGTAGGTATGCAAAGTGAGATGATACATACACTACAGGTGATAAATTCTGGATATCTTGGACACGGGCTGGAGGGATATGGAAAAATGGATCGCATTTTCATGGGCGGCTAAAATGTACATAGAGCATCTGGGTTAGGTTGATAGACGTGGGAATACGGAGTACAGGGTCGCTCATTCAAATTAAACGATCAAAATGAAATAGAGGTCATATGCGAGTCACAATCCTGTGGCGTCGATCTATATAGCAGATTCGGAGTATTAACCACATATTCTGTAGTCCTAATGATCCTGAGTACCGTTAGGGAAAGATGCCCAAGACTCTCTATCCCCGAAAGAGAAGGTGCTTTTCTCCAGTTAACAAGCATCAACACTAGTTGATTATAACAATAACCACGCTAAAATACACTGGGTGTGACTCCATCACACCCACTCCCAGTCCTCAGTACTATGCAGAACAACTTTAGTCATGGCTGACTTGAGAACCAACCCCTGCTCGATCAAGACTCCATCGAAACCAGCGAGCCCGACCTGAATCTGGTCTCTTTGTCCGTCCATGCGTCAACTGCCAATTCTCAGTGGAACAATAGTAAATACTTCGATGGACTGGTATGGACTGGTATGGACGGGTTCCGAAATACAACACCGAATACAACAAATCTTCACGCCCTGATTGGACCCCTTCCGGCGGCAGCTCCCCGACCTCTGTTCACCATGAGCTCCACTGATCCAAGGGTTGCGTGGACGAAGAGCTCCATCACCTTCCTCTCTGGTATAGATTCCGGTTCGCTTTAGTTAAGCCTTGTCATATCATTATCATTGTTCCCTGCTGTGAGATACCACCTGCCTATCCAGTCTACTAATGTCTCATCCTTTTCTCAAATTAGGACTCAGGAGAGACTCGTGGAATTTGCCGCTATATTTGACACTCCTGACACTCCCTCTGAGTGGGGACCCCGATTGGCTAGTGATATCGGATTCATCATAGATCTGCCATTCTTCGTGGAAGGCTAAAAGTGAAAATGATTCCACTTCATGATTCAGTTGCTTTTGTTCTAGGAAGTTCCTCTGACTTGATGTCCTCCTTTCTTTTCCGTCCTTTTGCCGGAGCGAGAACCCGTACTGTTGAGGTTCAATCACTCTTCTCCGGTGTCGGGAGCACCCCTACAATCACGCTCTTACCATCCAGGACAACGCCATGAATTCAACACCCGCATGCCAGATGTGCCATATTGGGCGCGACAGTGGACATGCACGATGGTCGAGAAAGATCCCACCTGCATTGATTATTTCATCAGGGGAGGTCGTCACGTTTGATACGATTGACAGCAGTAATGGGCGAATTGAGAGGACCTCTGACGCTTCAGCGATAAGCTCCTTGGATATGGATGCGGCAAATCCGGTTTTCGGTCCAGTTTATATTCAAAATGCGCAACCGGGCGATACGTTGAAAGTCGAAGTCATCGCTTTGGAGACCGCGGACTGGGGATGGACAGCTACTATCCCTGGATTTGGACTCTTAGCAGACGAGTTCCCGGATCCTGCGCTTCATATTTGGCAAATCAACAAGGAACAAGGATACGTTCTTTTCAAGGATAATATACGGATTCCTTTGCGCCCATTCCTGGGTTGTATCGGCCTGGCGCCTGCAACAGACGAGGACTTGTCTACGGTTCCTCCCACAAACGCCGGAGGTAATCTGGATTGCCGTGAGTTGACCGTCGGGTCCACCCTTTACCTGCCCGTGCAAACGGACGGGGCTCTATTTAGCTGTGGTGATGGCCACGCTGCTCAGGGCCATGGAGAAGTATGCGGAACCGCAATCGAGACCTCAATCAAGGCTACACTTCGATTCGAACTGTGCAAGGACATGCCGTGGGTGACGAGTCCACAATACGAGACCTCGTCCAGCAATCTGCCGACAACTAAAGTGCCCGTATCTGGCCAATACGCAACAACCGGTGTCGGCCAAACGCTTCACGAGGCCTCCAAAACAGCGGTCCGGAACATCATTCAGTGGATGGTGGCCACTAAGGGCTTGACTCATTGTGAGGCATACATAATAGCCAGTGTAGCAGGCGATCTACAGATCATCGAGGCTGTAAACATGCCTAACTACGTGGTGGCAATGACAATTCCGTTGGGCATTTTTGGCCCAAGTCAGTGAGCCTTCAGCCATATTCATGCCATCCAGCTGCACATGGTGATTGACCCTAGTATGTTTCGAGAATTCCGAAGTTAGAGAGGTCAATCACTAGGAGTTTTCTAGTCTTATGAACCAGTGATATCTTCCTTGCTTTGGTTCATGCGCCCTCAGCTATGTCCTTCCAATGTTATGATACCCACTTTGTTCGCGAAGAAATGCTTCGAATAATACGTCCTCATGAGTTTTATCAAGATGCCACCATCTATTTAATGATATATCTGAAATGTCACTCGTAGAACCAACGACTCCTGTGTTTGCTATTTTGCACATAACAAGTCACATGATTTCGTGTCGCAGCGTGTCGAGGCCTGAGGGTGAAGTGCATGTAACATCAAACAACGGCAATCTATCTTTCTGGACCACATGGATTCCACATTGGAAGGTTTGAATACCGCTCAAAAAGCCGCAGTAACTTCTCCTGCTTCTATCTTGCAAGTCCTCGCTCCTCCTGGCTCAGGAAAGACGAAGACATTGACCGCACGCGTCGCGTATCTCCTATCGCGTTATGGATACCAACCGCAGGATGTCATCTGCTGCACGTTCACCATCAAAGCGAGTCGTGAGATGCGAGAACGGCTCGCGAAGCTGGTAGGCGATGAAGTACAGTCTAAACTGATCCTTGGAACTTTCCACTCAATATGCCGTCGGTACCTGGTGAGCTATGGTTATCTGATCGGGCTGCGGAGAGGTTTCGGCATCGCAGACTCCAGCGATAGCTTGGCAATTATCAAAGTAGGGATCTCTGTTGACACCGTGATCTTCTCTATACACTCTAGTCATCGGTTGCTAAACAATGCTATCTGCAGAGGATAGTGAAACGTTTACGGTGCAGCATCCAGCCAAACACTGCTCGAGCGCGCATATCTCACCAGAAAGCTCACGGGGTCAGCCCGGACGAGGCCGCGGTGAAGTATTCCAGAGGTTCGAGATCGGCGGAGCATCACGAATTTGTTCAAATCTATCGCGAGTACGAGAGCTACCTGGCGACGTCCAATTTGCTCGACTATGACGACCTTCTTCTCCGATGCGCCGATTTGCTGAGAAGACATCCACAATGCGTCTCGAACGTCCAGGCAGTCCTAGTCGATGAG